ATAATTGTATGCGTTTTACTACTATTTGCGTTTTAGGTCAGTTAATTACTATTTCGGTTAATAATATTATAATTTATTTTTCGAAGTCTAGAAAGTTCTCTACTACTTTTTAGTATTCGCTTTTATTAGAATTAAAGTTATTATCCTCTTTTTTATTAATATTAATATCCTCGTTAGTCCAGTTATTTTTTGTTCGGGTGTCTTCCGTCCGGTTATTTTGTAGCGGAGGGGGGTTTTATTATTCGGATATCTTGGGTTGAAAGATATTAATAGAGTTTAATTAATTACTTTTTCTTAGGGTTATCTTTTAAGAATTTAATTAATAAGTGTTTGGGTTCTTAATAATCTTGGGGGGAAAAATTATAATCGTCCGAAGGATAGTTATTATAATTTTATAGGGAAGAGAGTTTAATAGTCGCCCGAAGGGTAGCTACTACTTCTTTTTCGAAGGATATACTAATTGTTCGAAGAATAGTTATTAGGGGGAAACCCTTAGCGTTGAAGCTATTTAGATAATTTTAAATAAGTCCGGATCCGGGTAGTAAAATTGCGTTCCAATTGCAAAGCGTAATTGAAAGGTAGGGAATTTAAAGCGCGTTATTAAATGTACATTAAAGGTATAAATACTAGTACTTACTTAAAGAGTATTATTATTGCAGGGGGGTTTTATTATTTCTTAAATTTACTAACAGCGACCTTTAAGATAGTAATAGATCTAAGTTTACTTTAAGTCCTTTCAAAGAGAGCTACTACTAGGGTTTACAAATTTAATCGATAGTTGGAATTAATACTTTAAAAACTGCAATTAATTACTGGGGGGCTCGACGTTGTAGTTACAATTACTATATAATAGCGTACTCTAGGAGTATATATAAATATTATAATTAAGTAAAGTATAATATTAAAGAAAGAGGGTGTAGCCGAAGGCTTATACTAGTAGTTGGGTTAATATACCTAATTGCATATCGCTTCCTTATCTAATCTAAAGTAGGTTAGCAACCCGCTACCGGCATGCGCGGCCCTATCGGACGGTATACTCGTACCGCGGGTGCCGGCCCGGCAGGTAGGATGCTTGCCGCGGGCTGGAGTTATAGCGATATTGTCTAATATTATAGATCTAGCTAATCCGGCATTAATAAAATTCGTTGGTATAGTAAGGGATTTAGTATTTATTGCGGGAATTAGGATTTCGATTGCTACTTTATTATATAACCCGTCTTTAATTAGTCTATATCGCCTACTTTTTAATAGTATTACAAAGAAAGAATCAGAAGAAAAGTTAGAATATAGTAGATAGATTATAGTAGATTTAGGAAGTAAAATAATTACCTTACAGTAGTTCAAATACCAGTAAAGGGTTATTACCTCTTGTGTTGGGCTTGCGCTAGCGTAGGTGTAAAGGCTTATATAGTATACAATCTTCCTAATTTGTATATTAAGTTAGAAGTATTTTAATTAATTGAAAGAGGGGATTCTTACTATTAGGTATAGATTTAAGTTCGTCGGTTGGACTAGGGAATCGAAGGGTATACCCTTTAATAGGGACCTCCCTAACGTAAAAGGGCGTAGTACTGTAATTAGGGCGTTAATACTCTTCTTACGCATCTTTAAAATAGATAAACCTATCCTTCTCCTTTACTTTAGTCGGTTACGAGTTTGGGTTATTTATACTTATAATAGTAGCGTACGGGATAGGCAATATAGAGTAGACAAAGAGACATTGGGCAATCGGGATTTAATTAATTTAGTATAGTAAAAACTATACTTTTCTGGGTATACAATGTGCGTATGGTAGAGTTGCACCGGGTAGCCTTAGTGTACTAGAAATGTATATGTGGGCCGGGAAAAAAATGGCGCGTTTTACGCTTAAAGAGATAAGCTTGAAAACTTAACCCTCTGATATCTGACCCTAACCCTCCTTCATCTCATCAAACACAATTTCAATTTCCAAAGTTTCAGCTCCAACGGAAATCAGGGGCAACAACAAAGCGCAGCAGGGGACTGGCTGGTGGATCTGCTACTGGTCAGCCCCTGCAGAACGAAAACGACCCCGCCCCAGAAGTGTGGGTCCTGTCACACCCCTCCACATGCTTGAATCTTGTCCTTGTAATGTTTAGAGCTCTTAACTCGCTGAACTCGGCTGTAAGAGGATGAGATGGATGTCTCCTAAGGTTCACTTAGTATCAAGTAATCGTAGGTGTCTAAAACGTGGTAACAGTATACTTGACGAAGCTGTTGACTGTCATCTCCATAGAGGACATCTATGTACATATGTACGGTATACAACCGCAAACCTATCACATCGTGTACTTACCGCAATGGTGGGGATGATTGGTGCAGGTACATCGCTCATCCTCTCCCCCAAATGGCAACAAACTGCAGCGAGGTGTAAATAACCAGGAAGGCAAGTGGAAGGTACCGAACACGTTGACCGCCTCGGGGCCCCGCTCTAGTGTAATTTACCTTGTCCTCGTCCATTGACAACAATTGAGGCAAGTGATCTGAAGAAGTGTACATTGTCGTCGCAGCGCGGCGTTTATATAGTTGGCCATCTCCCCCAGCTTTGTACACTTTTCAGGGTTTATTACTTGTCCTTTCCCCATCTTCGTCCACAACACCAAAACACCATCACAATGGCTGCCGCTGCCCCCGTCACCTACCCTCCTCTCGAGGAGCGCCCGCTCAAGAACACCATCTGCTTGTTCGATGTCGATGGCACCCTTACTCCCGCGAGACTGGTACGTTCTCTTTGCCCTCTAAAGCTGCTCCTTGAATCCGGCCCTGTTGCCTATGATCAACTAACAGCCCCCCGATCAACCTATCAGACCGTCTCGCCCGAAATGCTCTCCCTCCTCTCGGCCCTCCGCCAAAAATGCGCCATCGGCTTTGTCGGCGGCTCCGACCTGGTCAAGCAGCAAGAACAACTCGGCTCCTCCTCGGTCGACGTCACCACCCTCTTCGACTTCTGCTTCGCCGAGAACGGATTGACGGCCTACAAGCTCGGCCAGCCGCTGCCGTCCAACAGCTTCATCAAGTACATTGGCGAGGACCAGTACAAGGAGCTGGTGCGCTGGATCCTGCACTACATTGCCGATCTGGAAATCCCCATCAAGCGCGGAACGTTTATCGAGTACAGAAATGGCATGATCAATGTCAGCCCGATTGGCCGTAATGCGAGCACGGCGGAGAGGAACGAGTTTGAAAAGTTTGATAAGGAGGCGGGCGTGAGGAAGGAAATGGTGGAGAAGTTGAGGGAGAGGTTTGGGCATTTGGGTTTGACGTATGTATTTCTGCTCTTTCGTTTTCCCTTGTCTCCCGTTTGGTGGTGTCCGCTGCGCTCGGCCGTTTTTTTTTTTTTCTTTACCTCGCTTTGCTCGATTCCTTCCCCATCTCTTTCCTCATTTCCTCAGCGAGACAACAAGCTAACAGAGAGACGGAAAACAGCTTCTCCATCGGCGGCCAAATCTCCTTCGACGTCTTCCCCACCGGCTGGGACAAGACCTACTGCCTGCAGCACCTCGAGAACGAGGCCAAGAAGGCCGGCGGTATCACGTACGACACCATCCACTTCTTTGGCGACAAGACCTTCAAGGGCGGTAACGACTACGAAATTTACGAGGATCCTAGGACTATTGGTCACTCGGTTACCGGACCGGAGGATACGGCGGCCGAGCTGAGGAAGCTTTTTGACCTTTAAGTTTTGGGGGTCAGAGGTGACCTACCTGTGAAGCGGGTGGGGATATGATGATGGAAGAACAAAGTAAAAACCTACATAGGGATGAAGATAATTGGTAATGATGATTTGAAGACACACAATGGAGAGTCCTCGGGAACGATATGATGTGATGAAGTGGTTGTCCAGAGGGTGAAAGCAATCTGATATCCTGCTCCTCAATTTCCACTAACAACGAAAAGGAATGCAGCCGTCATTGAAGATTCACAAAGGTATTCTGAACGAGAAATAACCATGCAATCAGTCTTATCCACCAAACTCTGGTCCTCCTCCTCCCAACCCACTTCCTGTGATCCCACTTATCCTTCTCCCTTACCCACTCTCATTCTCATTCTTAGTGGAGAAAGCAGAAGTGATCGAGGCTGATCCTTCTTTCAGTTATATGCCATCATGGCTGTTACTGATGAACTAATCGCGGGTACTAAGAATGAGAACTTGCTTATATGACTCTGGTCCCCGGCGGTAAAGAAAGGTCCTGCGTGCGGTGAGGGAGGTGATTGTAGACACGTAATTAGTTAGGAAAGGATTCAATAGGGTCCTTAGGTATATAGTTTTCGGTATGAATTTAACTGGTGATAGTAGGCCTTATATTGTGTAGGACAGGGTCGAGTTACTTAGACTCAAGAAGAAGGGGGGGGGGGGGGTATGTTACAGGAATTTCTTATGGTCCTTTCATAGTCTCTTCACAATCCTTTTACAATCTCTTACTATCTCTTTATAGTCTCTTTAAAATATCTTTGCAATCTCTTTACAATCTTCTTATAATATCTTTGCAATCTCTTTACAGTCTCTCTCCAGTCTCTTTACAATATCTTTACGTACTCTAATCTCTTCAAATTGTAATCAGTTTCTTCATACTTTCCTCGAGTAGTCTCTTCACGGTGGCCAAAATCCTCAGAAGGTCGGGAATAATTCGATATGCAGTCTACCAAAAAGAAGTCTGGACCGTTCCCGATCACAAAGCACCATTCCATTTCCCGTAGCTCATGAGTCCCCGCACCGTCTTTCACTTTCCATCATCTCCGGGCTTGCCGTCTCGGGGGTTCACATGTATGGTCGTCCTAAATTCACGGTTCAGTCCGATTACAGATTTAGTTCTTGCTCGGTTCCTTAACATGTTGATGTTGCTTTGTTGTTTGTCTGCTTCACATTTAGTCAAATCAGACACCTACAAAGGAGGCTGTGCATGAGGGGAATTTGGTGCCAACGACTTCACTGCGTAGAGGTAGCCTTAGAGGTACGAAGCGTAGAGGTATGGTCCGGTAACTCGAATGAACAACAAAATTGGTTATGGCCCTATATCTGGTTTTCGAAGGCCCTAGCATCTATGGTCTCTGTGTGTTCCACTGCTGGTATATAGCTGTTATATATCACACAAGAGATGTATGCTAAGAAAACCTCATGATTACCATCTCATCTTTTTCAACTCTCTATAGCCCAGTCATCGCATCTTTTCAGATTACTACTCACAAAAGTAGTCCCCTCCAATCACATACCTCTATCTACTGTGTCTTCTTAACAGTCACCTTCTTCCCCGCATCAACAGGGCCACTATACATCCAAAGCGCCACAAAGCCCAAAAAGCCCACGACCGTAGAACCAAGACCGGCAATCCACGGCCACGCGCCGCTGATGACGTAGCTGCGTGGCCACTCGTCGTGGGCCATGTGGCGGACCGGCACCGTGTTCTTCTCTTCAATGTGGGACAGGAAGGGGCGCTTGTAGTTGACCATGAAGTTGAAGATGCCGTGCTGGTCCGGGGTGGTGAAGACGGTGTGGTAGTGCACAGCAGCCAGGCGGTGCGATTCCTCCTTCAGGTTGAGTCGGTGGAAGGGCGAGAGCATGGAGAACTCGAGCTGGATCTCGTCGTGTTCGGGAACGTTGAAACCGATCCAGTGGTCCCAGGCGAATTCGGAGAGGGAGATTGTGTAGGACTGCGGGGGTTTTGAGTGTTAGTTTTCTTGTGACGGAGACAATGGGAAGGGAAGAAGGACAAAGGGAGAAAATGAAGAGAGACATACCACATTGTTCTTTACCCGGTACATCTCGGGGTTAGAATCATTCGGCGCCCCTTCCTCCTCCAAATGGTGCTCCACCCAGTTGACCTTCAACACGCCAATCTCCTGGAACGTCCAGCCGCTGACGCGCTTGGAAAACTCCCGGTTGAACGTCTGAACGACCGGCTTGCCGTCCAGCTTGGTCACGCTGGCATCAAACCACTTGTCCTGCAACATCTCGGCCGAGCCGACCACCGTCACGCGCGCGTTGTTGCGCGCCTGCATGGTGGACACCAGCGAGAGCTGCTGGCCAGCCGCGAAGAGGTCATCCCCGTTAACCGCCTCGGCCTGCTCCTTGGGGTTGTAGCTGTAGGCGGTACGCGGGGCGCGCAGGATGGGGTTGAGAAGCTGGCCATTGCCGAGGATGGCACTGACGCCGCGCGGGAAGGCGATCAGCTTAGTGCCTGCGCCCTCGCTGAAGAAGTCCTTGATGCCAGCACGGATGGGCTTGGGAGGCGGCAGGAGCAGAACATCGTGTTTGTCAGTGGCGCTAGTGATGTCGTAGTTGAAGTGGTCAACGACCAGGCTGTTACGGTCGGTGGGGAGGGTGATGTCGAGCTCGGAGAGGAGGGCGACGAGCGAGGTGGGCGTGGTGGTGTTGGCGCTGAGGGCGAGCAGGATGTTGCCCTTGGCGTTGACGAAGTCGTGGAGGGTCTTGGGCGTCAGGTTAGGGCCGAGACCCTTGGTGCGGACGGGCAGGAAGAGGACGTGGTCGTAGGTGCGCTCGCCCAGGTTGAAGAGGGTTAGGGAGTCGCTCTTTGGTGTTTCGTACGTTATCTTGAATTCTCGTTCTGGAAGGCAAGAAGCGTGATTAGCGCAACGGTCTCGATGGTAATACGACACACTGGGACTTTACTGACCTTCTAGATCAGCGAAGAACTTGGAGTAGGTGGCCTTGTCTGCGACATCGTCCAGGACAACCAGCAACCTGTTGCCAGATGTGCTGATGGCAGCCACTGCGCTCGCCAGCGCAAGCAGCAAGAAGGATAATAGCGTCCTCATAATTCGTCCCTTATTGTTATTTGGATCCGGGGAGGGCAAAAGAAAAGGACTCCAGGAACTCAGCACATGGGAATTGGTAAGGTGTTTAGTTGATAGCTGGAGATTATTTCCCCCGTTTCAAGTGGAATGCTGTCGTTCAACACCCAAGGAAACTGAAGTTGTATGTAGGTAGCTGTGTTCAATGTTCCCCAATCGATAGCGCTTGTAGCTTCCAGCATACGTAGCCGTTTGCCAAGACCTTCCTGATTGTGACCCTGGACGAGTTCACTGGCGCTGCGAAGCTGCTTGAAAGCAACAACCTCCTGCTCGGTACCTCGACACCTTGAAGTGTGGCCCGAGCTTCTTTCAAGACAAGCAAGCGTGGGATAACCCCGGTTAGCACAAGTGGATCGTCGTGGATTGCGCCGCAATTGAATCAACTTCCTGGACCCTCCTGGCGGGGGGACGGACGGCACACGCACGGCCGCTCTCATCTCGAGTCTCGAAATCGCAGCAGCTGCCGAAGCTCTCAAACGACACGCCCGGACACCGACCACGCCGACGACGACGATAGCGACGAGAACGAGTGTCCCTCATTTGACAGGCCACAGTCAGGGCTAGATGTAAGTACCTATGTCAGCCTACAGTACCAGCAATACCTAGCCTCCGAGTCGCAATCGCAACAACCATCATCAATCAGCCCATCAACCCAAGTCCCGTCCTCGCAACTTACACCACCAACCAACTCCTCTATGAACTCCACCACCACCGCCGCCCCAACTCCCACCACCCACCGCGTCCACGAGTCAGTTCCACTAACACCCCGTCCGTCTGTCCGTCACCACAGAAACGAAAATAAAACAAATACTCCATACGCAGGCAACAACGGACGATAGATAGACAAATATGTCGGGCACAATCCCTCACTTCTGGGCCCAGCCCTTCCGCTACATTCGCTGGTCCGCCCGCGAGAAGCCCGCCTACTTCTACTCGTGCGTCATCGCCGGACTCGGCCCCGTCTTTTTGACGGTGGTGCCACCTGTGCGCAAGTACTTTGGGGATGTCAACCCGGCGCCGATTCCTGTCACTTATCCTAGTATGTCTCTCTTTTTTTCTTCCGTTTTTCTTTTTCTTCTGCGATTTACGTTTTTATACCTACGTGTTTTACCTGCGTTACGTTACCTCCTTGTCGAGATTATATATTTTGGAGTTGATTTTGGCTCGAATATATCATGGTGGACGCTAGAAAGAGGACTCAAGGTCATCGGTCGAATAGGAAAGAGGCTAACCAATGTTGTTACTTGGAAATTATTAGTTCCCACCGGGCCTAGGAAGCAACTTACGGGTTTTGATGATGACACCGAGGAGGCATAGAGGCATGATGGATGTTAGGTGTCGATTGGGCTAATGCTGGAAGAGAGAAAGAGAGAGAGAAAAAGACAATCACCACCAAGCGGAGAGACAGTACGCTGTTGTTGTGGACATGAAGGATTACAGAAACTTCTCAGACGACGTAGACGGTTGGAGTTTGGAAGGAAATATCAGAATACAGGATGATATATACCAGACGAAACGAGTTCGATCGGTTCCCCTCTACCTTTCAATATTCCAGTGGTTGACGCCGGGGAAACGGGGTGACAGGAAGTCTAATATGTCGCGGGCTATAGAACTTGATATCTATATATTTGACTAGGAAATCTCTAGGGCGGTGATAATAGGTACGGCCTTGAGGGTCTGTGTAATGTTTTCCCGGCAGATGGGATATATCTCCAAATCAAATCGTGCTCTATCGATACTCGCGATTAACAACTTTTCCAACTTTTTAAGCGGCATGACACTTCTTGCTAACTTGCTTTTCCCAATGGCACAAAAAGCCACCACCAATAAATGTAAATCGCTGTTCCCTATATCTATGCTTCTCCATCAAAATGGTGCCTTTCCCATTTCCATCAGAACTACTCCTCTTCCTCTCCTACCACCCACAAGAAGTCTTCTAACAGCTTACCATCGTCGCCTTCACATCTGCTTTTCCATACTCTGATATATACAGCCCTGTCGCACTATCGCTCCCGCTGAATCAGGTTCCACTCATACTACAAAGCTGTTAGCTTCCAGCCTCACTCAACCACAAACGAATTCAAAGAAAAAGAAAGGAATAGAAAACTCACCACGCGCCCATCATCATCGCCCGTATAAACACAACTCGGCATCGGCGTAATACACGTAATCGCCGCCTCCACATTTTGTCCCGTCTCGCTCTTGGTATTGATATGATCCAACCTCCTGACCAGCTCCAGCACCCACCTGCTGCTGCTGCTGCTACCTCCCGAAGCCGAAGCCTTCTTATACTCTGCCACCGTCTTCCTCCACACGTTCACCCTGCCTCTCTTGTGGCCGGTGAACACCAGGTTCTCCTCCACCCACTCGTTGCCGCCGCCGCCGACGGTGCTGGTGCTGGTGCCTTCGTAGAAGGCGCATGAGTGAATGTAGTCGTTCGTGTCACCCTCGGAGCACACGTTTTGGTCGAGGATTAGCTCGCCGTTGAGCGTGTAGAGCAACACGTTCGGCCCGCTGCAGAGCATGATCTCGCCCGTCACGTCGTGGATGCGCGCACACTCTACCGGTCTTGCCAGGGGCAGTTTGCGGATGAACTCGAGGCGGTTGAGGTCCCAGAGAAAAGAAATACCATCCTGCGAGACGGTGACGAAGGTGCTAAAGGCCTTGGACACGGCGATGGTGGTCACGGGCGTCTTGTGTCCGAATAGGGACGAGCGCGGGACCAGCTCTACGGGTTTGCCGGGGCTGGACTGGACTGTGTACACGGACACGACGCAGTCCTCGCCGGCGGTGATGAGGGTCTTGGAGTCGGCGAAGGTCAGGGTGGAGATCTGCCCTATGTGCAGGTTCTCAAAGAGGCCGGCGGGCTTGCGGTCGTTCGTGAAGAAGAATCGCACGCTGCCGTCGGCGTAGCCCCATTCGAGGAACTTGTCGTATTGTGGGGGCAGGTTCAGACGGAAAGGCGAAGCGCAGAGCAAGCGGTCCAGCTTGGGTGCGTAGATTAGGGACGACACGCGTTCGTGGCTGTCAAGAAGGGGATGCGGTTGGTTGGTCAGAGCGTGGACGGAGGTGTCCAGCCTCTTGATGGGACACCTTGCGTGCTCGCGAGCGGGATGGGGTTTTGTGAACACCTGGTGTGGTGTCTGACCAAAGTTGTGAATGATGTTCGTGGCAATAAGACGCTCTTGGGGATCAGAGATGTTGTCCAGGTCTTTGCCGCCCTTGTACGATAACGGGTGGAACACATTGCAGGCTTCCACCGCCGCATCTCCGCGCTGCTTGTATCCGAAAATAAGATCGATCCACTGGTGCAACCTCTGACTGACATACGGACTCTCGAGCGCTTCACGGTTTTTGGCAATGAAGATCTTGGGATCTCCCTTGGCCCAGGGTGGTAGAATGACATTATCGACCTTGCCACCATCGCCCTGACGAGTGCCAAAGTTGTACCCGTTGATGTTGGTCAGAAACTCGGGAAGGTAGAAGAACTCGGGAGTCAGTTCACGAACGTCGGTACCGTTGTCTCTTGAAGCGGATGCCCAAGCACCCTCGATTGAATAGAAGAGTCTGTCAGCGTGGTCAAACGAGCCACCCTGCATCAGGATGAATGTCTGCACGAAAGGAGGCAGGCGAATCAAGTATGACGAAACAATCATCGCTGACGAGTAGTGGGTACCATAATGGTACGGTTGTTCGTCCATCTCAGCCAAGCTTTGGTACTTGGCCATGAATGTGTCCATACGACTCTTCGTTTGAGCGCCCATGGGCTTCGAGAGATCTCTGAACGTGGCCGGGTCATTCAGATCGAGTTCCTCGCTGGTATAATCTGCCAGCACCCAAGGGAAGACGGGATACTGCGTAAGATCATTGAAGGTCCTGCCAGCCATGGTGTTGACCAACATCAAATAATGAAAGTTGGAAATTTCGCCCTTTTGCCACTTCCTCATCATAGGGTTCCCAGCAGAAGAGTTAAAGATGCTTCCAAACTTCATGCCCAGAGTCTGCGGTGCCTCTTCACTGAACTTGAGACTTTCAAGACGCCAGGCATCTTCCGGCGTGGGTAGCAAGTTCGGGCCGTTGCTATGAGGCGTCTTGTTCATCATTCGGCTGTAGATCTCGTCTCTCATGGCAGAGTTGAGAGCTGTGAATAGGTAACTCCTACCATCAGTGAAGAATATCTCGATTGCCACATCGCGGAAGAGGAAGCGACGTTTTGAGACACTAAGGACATCCTGCCATCTCCAGCTGCGCGACTCTTGATCTGTGCGGTTCTGGCCTTGCCTGCGGTCATTGCTCTGACCGGAGATCATAACAGAGAAAGGGTCGCGCTCTTCCGGAGGTGCTTGCCAGACATTTATGATCTCTCCATCGGGGCTCTGGAAAAGGTTATCCATCAGGTACAAAGCTTCCTTGCCAATGATCAGTATACCCTCGGATGCATCCAAGCCAATGATGCGAGAGATGTTGTAGACGTTCTGCACTGTGTCACCTTGCTGTAGTCGCCGCATGACCTTCCGATTCTTGTCTTCAAAGGTATCATCTTCCTGTTCGTTCGGGTCATCCACAAGCTCGTAGTCATCCTCTGGTGAAACGCTTTGTTGGTCAGAATCGCCTGGCGCAAATTTGGGCGCCAGGTTTGTGTTGGAGTCACTTGGGGGCTCGGCTCCGGCTTTGCTCTGCGGCTGGGCAACGGATGAAGGCGCGCGGCTCCTACGGCCAGACGACGAGCTGTCACCCGCAGCTAGACTTGAAGCTGGAGCGCCGCTACCAGCATTTCCCCTCGGTTGATAATCCGGTTGTTGCTGTGCAGCATAATCGGGGAGCAGGCGGAGACGCATGCGATTCCGACCCTCCGTACGATCAAGCTTCCATTTGATTTTCTGCTCCTTGGCAAACACCGCACCAGGCCGGTACAGCTCGCGCTCCATCTTTGTAAACGATGAAGCCAAAAAGGCATTATCATCCTGCTGGTCCTGCTGGAGCCTCTGGTGTTTGAAATGTTCAGTAAAGTAGATGCTCTTCATCCACGCGTTATTGCTCATCTCATGCCGAAGCAAGATGCTATCGCGCTCCATGGCTTCGGTATGCCATTGTCTGAGCTTATCTTTGCGATTCCTCATCCGCGACCTAGCGGTGTCTGCCGTGCGCTGGTTCTCGGCACGCACATAGTCCTCCCACGCCTTGGACATGCCACCGAAGAACAAGATATCGAGGGATGACCGATAACTGTCCACCCACTCAAGAAACGATACATCATCCAGCTGGGTGAGCCTTCTGAAGCCCCTGGCTAGTGGCTGTTGATCAGGGGTCATAAACTGACGAAATAGCATCGATGACTCCTCGGGCTTCTGAACAAGCATTATCCGCCACAGCATTGCTGCCATGAGACGAATTGGTTCACGGGCGTCGACCAGCTTGTTGTAAAACTGATACCAGAGAAGCTTCATAAAGTCGTCATCCAGAGACAAGCAGTTAAGGAGGACGGCTTGCCAGTAAAGGAGTTTCTCCATGATCGACGTGGCCTCTTGGTCAGTTGTTTGCGGGTCATCCATGTCGGACAGCTTCAGTAGGACAAGCTTGAGGAACGTTGTCCTGATCGTGTTGACTGCAGAACTGCAAAGTCGGACACTCTTCGTGCTTGAGACATCTGGCCGCTGTAGATACTCCAATAGTGTCCCAGTGAAGTCAAGCATGGTCTCAGCGCCATTGATGAACCAGCCCTCAAAGATGGCCTCGGCCATGTGCATGTTGAGGCGTGACATATTCTGTAAAACCCTAGGTTCCAGAAGCGCCTTCTGGTCTAGTTGGACAGCGTTTCTCAGTTGCGTAATGGCATTGCGTAGGATGTAGGTTTCGAAATACGCCTGATGCTCCTGGAAGCCCGGCGGAACCTTGAGGAAAAGACCGAATCCCGTAAAGTCCTTACGTGATAAGATCTGGTCGTTGAAGACGCTGATGATGAGTTCCAGGATGCTCTCCAAAACCACGTTGCTTACTTGCTGAGTGGCAACCTTCTTCTTCGGAGACATGACGTGATTGAGACGGGAAGGTGGAGGAGACATGGGTTGATCTTGAGCTACGAGGATGAAAGACGACGGCCTGCGCAAAGGTGTACCGCGACTTTGTCCCGCTGAAGGGTTTGGCTGCTCAGCCACGGCAGTATTGGTCGTTCGCACGATCGGAGTTGCTGATGATGATGACCTGACCACTGGCCGAATAATCACATCAATTCCGTCGAAATTGAGCGGGGAGTCCTTAGATCCAAGTTCAGTTTCGGGTGAGACTGGGTCAGCACTGACGACAATGGGATACAAAGCAGATAAAAGTAGCCGAACATAGTCTGATGCCAACGCGAAATCACGAAAGCTCTCGGATCGGCTGTACATATCTGCCATGAAACGGACAACCGTTTGCAAAATGCTCGCGTGATTGACGACTCTTTCTTTATCGGGCATGGGGGCTCCTGTAAATCTTTCGTTAGTCGCGACAATGGAGAAAGAAAAAGCTGGATCAAGCTTACTTCTGGATTCAAGGGCCTGGCCCAACTCCATAGATCTAGCTCTAGGTCTCGTATGAACCGCAGCTAGATTGCCCCCAGACGTAGTGGCCCCGCTGTGTTCGGCTGCTGGTGAGTCCGGATCATCCTGATACCTAAGAACATCCCTAAGGCCGTGCTGCAGCATGGCAGTCATAACCGGGAGCACGTCTGGGTATACCACTTTGCTGTCTCCAAAGATCTCCAAGAGGCTGAAGAAGTCGAACGACTTGTCAAAGTCGATTTGGGCGACATCGTATCCAAAGAGGATACTAAAGAGGATGGCCCAAAGAGTGGGAATGTCCCACCAGTGTTTTAACCGATGTGCCATGATCCAAAAGCCACCGGTCTTGGAAGCGAACTTGGCTGTGTAGCTGGTGGGTTGGGTGACAAGCAGGCGAGCGAGGATCTTGCATCCATAGACGACAATTTCGGGATCGTTTTCGGCGAGCAGGTAGAGTAGCCACTGGCTCGTCGTCAGCACGAACTCCTTTTCTGAGCCCTTGATATCAATCACCTTGTTGGTCACCGTCTTGGCAAACCTGCTAATGTCCACCGAGTTGTTCTTTTCGCAGAGGATCCTGGTGTACATTTCCAGCATTTTCACGCCGAGCTGTTTTCGTGTGAGCATCCTCGAGCCATTGCTGGAAGACGGCCCGCTATATTCGGGAGAAGGTCGCTTGGCGGTATAAGGGCCGGGGCCGGGGGTGACTGATCGACTAGCTGAAGAAAGGGCTCTTGGTGTTCGCGGCAATGAGTTTGCAGGAGTATGGAAGGTATAAGTGATGAAAAGAGCAAGAGAGCGATAAACTTCGGCACTATAACTACACCTTATCAGGGCCTCGAATGAGGTCAGGAAGTGTGGTAAGATGTCTTCGGAGATGGTTTCCGTCTTCAAAGCGTCTAATAGCCGCTTGATAATACCTGTATCGAGGGTAGTGAGTTCCACAAGATCATTTCTCCAAAGGATGGAAGGCCACAACGTACGCATGCGTAGAAGTCTACGACTATTGAATTGGTGGTGCTTGCTGTTTACCGCAAACGTAACAAACTGCTTGTAGTATAGCTCCTGTATCATGGGTGCAGATTTGCGCCAGAAGTCGGGGTCGATCAAAAGGATGCGATAGGCAAGAGGGTTCACGATAAACGACTCAATGGGGTCAGCATGATTATAGCCAACAAAACTCAGCACAAGGCTCAGCAACTGAAAGGTGAGCCTGGTCTTCTCATCGGGGCTCAGTGAGAGCCTCCATGAAGGATTGTCAGAAACAGATACGCCATATCCCAGTTTGGCACGTAGTAACATGCTCAGGATGGCATAGCCATTGTCTCGTTCCATTGCCTCGCTGTTTCTCCAGCTATGGGTGATGCAGTGGAGCATTATCTCAACGGCACGCACGAGGTCATCACCTGTGGTGGTCCGCTCAACAATCTTAAGAGCAACGGGTGTGAAGCCGGCCAAGCGCCAAAGATTGTCGTCGAAGTTGTAGGGAGTAGCAAGGACCGGGTCGCCGGTAAGAACTCCAGAACCATTGGCTCTTATCAACGCGTCATTAATGCAGGACACGGCTCCGTTTATCGCAACAGGAGTCCCATTTTTAGTGGTTGAGTGCAACAAGTTGGTGACGGAGTGCCGAGAGAGAGATCGAAACAGCGTTGATTCCATGAACTTTCCGTCGGATCGGAACACAGCTCGTGGAAGTATACTCAATAACACCTTGTGCTCCGGAACGATAGTTCCAGCCTTGTCCCTGATAGCTCTCAGGATGTCCGACACCTCATCTTTGCCAGGATGGAAGATTTCATTTCGCAGACCCAAAGCAGCCGAGGCCTCGTAAGTCTGGAAGCTACCAAGACAATCCTGGAAGTTACCTTGGTAACGAGGTCCCAGTCGGTAGTGCACAGCTAAGAGATCATCACTCATGACATCCTCGAACAAGTGAGCAGAAGCAAGTGACCACTTTGAGTGTACAAGCCCCGGGCCGACTTGAGTGGCCAAGTCTCGAGGAGTGCCCAGGAAGGCCTGCACAGGGTTCGTTTTGTTGGCATTAGACGTGAAAGATGCGAAGCTGTCGGTACTGGCGTTGGAAAGTGGAGGTGTGCTCGGGTACGATGAGCGTATCTGTTCGGCGAACTCTCCATTTACAAAAAGACTCGCTTTGCTCGTCATCAAAGTTTTGGGTTTCCGATGAACGATGGCAATGTGATACCACCGATTTGGTTTGAAGACAACCGACTTGAATCTGACACTGGGTCTTGAAGACGTTACTGACGTCTGAAGGATGAAGTTCTTTGTATCTTTTTCTAGGTACGCCAAGAGGAAACATGTTTGGGTAGAGTCGAAGACCCCGAAAAGCGTTGTATGAGACTTGGGGTCGAACCTGTCAACACGGACCCAAGCAGTAAATGTATATCCAGGCGCTGATTGTGGCGGGAAGGTTCTGCCGAGACTAGGTAGCTCGATAGAGGCATGGCCATGGAGTGAGAGGTCAAACTGCACAAACGGAGGACCATTGTGCTTTTCCGACATGTCCAGGCAAAACTCGGACATGACAGCGTCCTGGCGAGAGAGCAAGAACTGGGCATCTGCAAGCTCGTCAATTCCAAGCGATATCAGCTTTCTGCAAAGCCACGCAGCGTCTTTCTGCTCTGCCTCTGCAAGCAGGCTGTTCTCGGAAAAGAGCACGCGCAAAAGCCGGGACAGTATGCCAGTTCCGTGAATGGCTGTTAAGTTGTAGAACGACACAGAGGCGACGCATGACAAGGCTGTCAGCACGATCATGGAAGCGTGGCTGGCCGCAGCACCCTCAGCTCTCGGAATGGACTCCCAAAATCCCACAATCGTCCGGATAATCTCTGCATTCTGAATAACAGTTGTCGGCCCAATAATGGCTTTCAACCTCTCCTGAATAATGACCCAGCGCTCAGCTTCTGTAGGTTGTAGTTCCACCTCTTCTTTTTGTCCCGGTACTTCATCCTGTTTATCTGATTCGAGCTCGGTCGGCGTCTGTTCGAGTGCTTTTCCTTCTTCGGCAACGGAGCGGCACAGCTCGTCGAGACGTTGATCATCGAGGGAAAAAGAAAGCAGCTTTCCAAATAGCTGACAGTTTGTCCAGAGATCCGAGTCGCCTCCTCCAACCCCAATGCTGGCGATTATCTGCTCCAGGGCCTCCCAACCTCCCCCTTCAACCCTGTCCTGGAAATAGCGTCTATTGCCGGGGTGTCCTCGGAAGAGGGCCGATATGGTGGCCAGGATGACATGTAGCAAGTCGAACAAGCCAACTCGCTCGGATTCGGTGCGCTTTTGCGGGTTATAGAAGCCCGAGAATGATCGCAGGACATCGAGAAGGGTCTGGAAGCCGTGCAGATGGCGGAAGTCGTCTTGTGGTGGGGAGGGAGGTCGCGCTGCTGCTATATGTTGGTGTATCCTTCTTATGTGGTCTATCAGCTCGTCTATGTCGGGATAACCGTTGGCTCCCGGCGCTTTCGTCGTAGCTACAAGACGGTCGAGGAGGCTCTGGAGGACTTCAGCCGCCTTCGAGGTCTGGGCCGCCGAAGCCGAGGTCGACGACCGGTAATGCCGTGATCGCACGGCGAGCATCGTGTAGTCTATAGTAGAGTCGTGGTTCGGCGACGAATGTGTGTTTGAATAATCATGTATCAAATGCCTAGGTAGGTCGACGTTGCGAAGTCCCTAGCACCCAGCGCGGGTCTAGGGGTATGTCTAGGACGGCCTTCATGGAAAGACAACGGGGCAATCTCGAAAATGGTCTGAGGAGAGCCCTCACAGCACCATCCCCAGCTCAATGCCTAACGTAGCCGGGATGCAGATCGAAAAAGCATCCACCGCGTGCCAAGCGACTGTAGCCAGGGGGTCCAGCCTCCGTACCTAGGTGTCTTTTGGTTTCAAGCTGTCAATAAGATGGACGGCTGCAATTGTGTGTTGTCGTCTTGGTTGTATGGCAAAGGCGGGGTGGCCGGATTGGGATATCAAAAGGAAAGAACAGAAACAGAATGGAAAGACTGGTTGGTATATAGTATCACAAGAAGATAGAATTGCTGGTCTGATATCCTTGGCTGCGTGTGGTTTCTGTGATGCCCACCACGCGTCCCTAGAGGCATCTAAGGTGCGGGTCGTGCAAATAAGATTGAAGCTCCCGTCCTCTCGTGTTCAGCCTCGAGCTACCCAGGCAAGTGGACGGTTAGGTTCCATTGCGGCTTCTACCTCTACTTCCGATGACAGGAGCCAGCGAGCCCCTGTAATGTTGGTGCGGTTCAGTGGCCCAGTGGTCCATATAACTGTACACTATAGTGGATATGGATAGCGTAGCCTTCTGCCGGCAAGAGCGAGACGGACGGCGGCTCAGGTTGCCTGGCTGGAAGCGAGAGGCGTACTTTACCTAAGTTGTAGCCCGGGCGGGTAGCCCACTTGTGGCGGTGCCTGCCTGATACGGACTTCAGGGGACCTAACTTCCACTTCGCTTGACTTCCTTCGTTGCGCAACAAATTGCCTGTATTTGGACTTGTCATTTCTCGCGAGATTGAAACTCCGCCAAATCTGGACCCGGACGTGAGCAATTTGGGTTCGGATGATACCAAGCTTCCATGTTCGTTTAACAGCGCTAGGTGGAATCGATTACGGGGCAGAACCGCAAATGTCCGTGCTTCCACTACAACTTAATGTGGATTTTGACATTATATACCAGGTATTTCAGGTACGGGAGGCAGTTCATGAATGATACCTTGAGCTCTAGCAACTGACTGTTTTTGACTCTTCTCGTTGAGATTCTCATGCATCTCCAGTTTGTGGTAAGTGAACTCGGAACTGGCTTCGGTATCCTGGACGATGTCAATGAGGTTGGACTGACGTGCACCGAAACAACATGATACTTCCCTTTTTATGGCGAGATTTCCATATCGTAGGTCTCGCTGACGCCGATCTCGTAGCATCATGGTTGCTGCAAATGTACAAAGGCGTTGATATCTTGTTGCCTAAGTGGATAAGCCGAAGTTCGACGTTCATCATGGCAAAGTGGTTTCTCAAGAACTTGTAATGTGCTTGGTCCATACTGTCCCAAAATATTTCGGTGCCCTCCCTTTATAATCTGGAGGGTAAGAAGAGGCAAGTACCTAAGTAGCTGGTCTTATTCTGTTGCATGCCGCTTCGGTGAGAGGTCCCTGCAGTAAACGAGGGTTTTCGACCGAAATGATGTTCACGATAACCACAACGACAATAACCTCAAGGCATAGGAAACCACTGTCGCGCACCTACAATGCTTAGTCAATTCGTAATACGTCTTTTTGGTTGTTGTGGTTGCTAGCTATAAATGGCAAAGTGGCTTGAGGCTTCCGTTCTTATGTACAGTCTGCACAGCGTCTTCACTTTCCGGATCAGACTTGTTTGTATCTCTATGTAGGTGTAGGTCGACCTTCGAGACACTGGCCTTTTCTGTTTGGACGATTTCCAACTTCGAAACAATAGGCTGCCGATGACTCTTTTGTATTTCATTGGCAAGGCGTTCTAACAGCATGCACGTGAGTCTCGTTATTGACCGCTTGATATGGTGAAATCGCCAGCGCATCCGAAAGCTAAAAAGGGCTGACCGCTTTCTGGGCAGGATTCCCACAGTTAGTTCTAGTGTAATAGGTAAGCTCCCGCGTCTCAAGTCAACACTGACAACTGTCATTGTCATCAAGAAGCCTGAAAATCGAGCAAAATCTCACGTTCACTTTATAGCGTATTGAGAAAGCCATTTCGAACAAGAAACAGCTCTCTGAAACATTTGCCAACAATGGTTCAACGTGCAGCTCTTCCAACTTCCAAGACACTGAGCGAGGTAGACTGTCTGTTGCTCAAACGACCATTACATCACCCCTTCCGGGATACTGATTGGTAGCTGATAACAGCCGAAACCGATAACGAACCCTGGTCGGCCCCAGCCTCCACTTACGCGACACGCTGCTTGCCTCGTCGTGCCTTGCGTTCTAATGCGCCGTTCATTGTCCACTCATCCAACGCACCACTCGCGTTCAGGTCCTGGACTAACGCGACAATTACGGGGCTGACATCTCCATTCGCTCGTCTCATACCTCACCGCTTCCGCTATCGAGGGAACCAGAGGGGAGCACGCAAAAGGCAACTTGAAAAGCGGTGTTTCCAGGCCCCGGAGGGTTATCTGCTGACAGATAGCGCTATGATGTAATCATTGTCGAGTCCCCAGAGCCATCAAGGTTCCGGCTTCAACGGGCTAAGCTTCTCCGAGGCCGCAAGGGTCCATTGGCCGTGGAGCCTGGCCACTCCCAACACAGCCGAAGTCAACAGGATGGCATTGTCCAAGAACTCGGTTTGTCGTCGTCGTCGTCCTTGCTGCAACTGAATTGGATGCACTGATAAAGGCATCAAAGGCGTGAGCCACTCGAGCCAAACTCAATCTTCTGGTGCAACACAGTGAGATATGACCGCTGTCACCTCCGGTCTGGTGCTCAGCATCAACTGAGTCAGAAGGGCTCCGTGCTGTGTTGATTGTGTGGGGGACAAGGGGGCCTCCTCCTAGTTCCTACAACCTGGCACGTGCCGAATGCCAGATGACCACTTGAACTCCAGTTCCGGTGCGGAGATCCCCCGCCCCTGGCTTCCACTTGGCATGTTGGCAAGCTGGATTGGATTCGTAAAAACAGTGTCGGATCGCTTGCGAAAAGACCAATCATTGAGATCAGTCGGTGACCTGCTTATTAGCGAGCCGATACTGATGAAGCGAGGCGTCCTGAGCGAAAGAGCTAGGTTGTAGACCTTTGAGGGGACATCTCTCTCGCTAGCCTGCTCGCCTGCACTCACTGATCAAGGTACCATGTGCACAGTATGAATTCGTTCGACAGGCATGCCTAGTAGTAGTGTGAGTATCGAGGTGGAATCAGTGTCTCACCTGTCATGGTACGGTTGCGGTTACTCGCAGCCTCGGGCCCTCCAAGTTCAAAGCTCCGAAGCTCAATATAGCTTCGCGAGATCTACCAACACAACAGGATGACCCCCAACTCTCTCAAACCGATACGACAGGACGTGACCACACGTATGGTTGGCGGTTGACGATCTGGGTGGCAGCCTTGCCGGGGAAGCGTCGCAGGTTGTTGGATGGCCAGATAGATGGCTCATGGTAAAGATGGATCAGCGATATAACATGTCCATATCGAGATAGGTACTGTATAGGATAAGCTAGCGTAGTAGTGCAGTGCGTACGACAGGTGGGAACCCGCTCCGTTCACTTAGTTTGTTGTCACCTCATCCAGACCCGTAGAGGTGCCATACTCCTACCTGCGGCTTGACACCTACAAACCACTTGCCATGGAGCCATCCTCCTCATCCGTTGTACTGGGAATGCGGCGACCTTTGCTTGGCTGTTGGCCATGGTTATTAGTCCTCTTCTCGAAGCGTTCGATCGTTGACGTGTCCAAGCCAATGCAGGAGGTCTGAATCTCCTTGCATGTCTTGCTGGCTGTCGTTCCCAAGTCTCGACGAAAGGCAAAGTAGATTGACCGGGGCTGCGGTACTGTTCGGATTGAGACGGTGATTGACTGATAAGCCGCGACGTGACCGCTCTTATCGGTCGGATGCAGGCCTGTCGCCCCCTGTGGAGCATGTGCGGGCCCACGCCATTGGCCGCTCCGCCTTTAGCTAGTCCCATTCAGGTTAGGGATGGCCGTCCCCAGGGCCTTGGGGGTGCCTGCGGGTAGACAGGAGGTTCCCTGAGGCACAGGCAACAGCACCCACCAGCACCAGGCCGATGCACGCTTACGCATCCGTCCTGTTTCCCGTCTTTATCAGGGACGTCCTTCCCGTGCTTCCTCGCCGAGCTCGTCTTCCCTTCTTCCTTCCCCTTCATCCGCCTGTCTGCCTTCCCCATCCCTTCTTCCATCATCCTCATCATCCTCATCGTCTGCCGTTGTCGGTTGATTCTTCTATCCATCCACATCCATTTTGCATCCTTCTTTGAGGTCGTAGGCCAAACCGACTTCACGCCGTTCCTTTCGTTGGTATCGGTAATCAGAAACACAACATGAGAGGCCTTCTCGCTCTATCGCTAGCAGCCTGTGCTGCGGCGGCCCCAGCAGTCAGCCATGAGTCGATCCATGGCGATGCTGCACCCATTCTTTCGTCCTCCAACGCCGAGGTCGTTCCCAACTCCTACATCATCAAGTTCAAGAAGCACGTCACCGACGACAAGATCTCGGACCATCACACATGGATCCAGAAGATCCACTCCTCCCGCATGGATCTGAAGAAGCGTAGCCAGATCCCCATGGTCGACGACGTCTTCCGCGGACTCAAGCACACATACAAGATCGGCCAGGACTTCATGGGCTACTCGGGTCACTTCGACGAGGACACCATCGAGGCTGTCCGCAGGCACCCCGATGTAAGTTACACCACGCCACCACAATCAGCAGCTCTGAAACCTTACTGACTTGCTTTTCAAAACAGGTCGAGTACATCGAGCGTGATAGCATCGTCCACACCATGAGCGTCTCGGAAGATGTTGATTCCGAGGGCAAGTGCGACAGCGACATCGAGAAGTCCGCTCCCTGGGGCTTGGCTCGTATCTCGCATCGTGATACCCTGAGCTTCGCTACCTTCAACAAGTACCTCTATGCCGCTGAGGGTGGCGAGGGTGTTGATGCCTATGTCATCGACACCGGTACCAACGTCGAACACGTTGACTTCGAAGGCCGTGCCAAGTGGGGCAAGACCATCCCCAACGGCGACGCCGACGTGGACGGAAATGGTCACGGTACTCACTGCTCTGGTACCATTGCCGGAAAGAAGTATGGTGTTGCCAAGAAGGCCAGCGTCTATGCCGTCAAGGTCCTCCGCTCTAACGGCTCTGGTACCATGGCTGATGTCGTTGCCGGTGTTGAGTGGGCTGCCAAGTCCCATCTCGAGCAGGTCAAGGCTGCCAAGGATGGCAAGCGCAAGGGCTTCAAGGGCTCCGTCGCCAACATGTCCCTTGGTGGTGGCAAGACCCAGGCTCTTGATGACACTGTCAACGCTGCTGTCTCTGTCGGCATTCACTTCGCCGTCGCTGCTGGCAACGACAACGCCGATGCTTGCAACTACTCTCCTGCTGCTGCCGCCAAGGCTGTCACCGTCGGTGCCAGCGCCATTGATGACAGCCGTGCCTACTTCTCCAACTATGGCAAGTGCACTGACATCTTCGCTCCTGGTCTCAGCATTCTCTCCACCTGGATCGGCAGCAAGTATGCCACCAACACCATTTCTGGCACTTCCATGGCCTCTCCCCACATTTGCGGCCTTCTCGCCTACTACCTTTCTCTCCAGCCTTCCAGCGACTCCGAGTACTCTCTCGCTACCATCTCCCCCGAGAAGATGAAGGCCAACCTTCTCAAGATTGCCACTGTTGGTGCCCTCAGCGACATGCCCCGTGACACCCCCAACCTCCTCGCCTGGAACGGTGGTGGTTGCAGCAACTACTCTGCCATTGTCGATGCTGGCAGCTACAAGGCCACCCCCAAGGCCCAGTCTGACAAGATCTCTTCCGTCTCTGAGCTTGAGAAGGCTATTGAGCACGACTACGAGGTCATCTCCGGCAAGGTCGTCAAGGGCGTCTCTTCGCTCTCCGACAAGGCCGAGAAGCTCTCGGAGAAGATCCACGACATGGTTGAGGAGGAGCTCAAGGAGTTCCTCGAGGAGATCGCTCACTAAAGTGATGAAGACTGTTTAGTAGCGTGTCATCTTTAGCGCAATGACTATGACTGGGGTTTTCAGATGCCCCCTTTGGTATTAGGTTGGGACAGGCACTGCTCTGGGTTTTGGGATAGGTTTCGGATGGGCGTGGGACAGCCCCGGGAGTTTTCATGTACAGTATGCAGAATATGGGTCACTGATGAGTTTGGGAAGGTTTGCATTTTCGTACGTAATCAGGTACTATCTATCCATCATGAGAAACACAAGGCTATTTGCCATTGATACAATGATTCTTCTCCCTTCTCATTGCTCGCGGTTTATTCAATTGGTTTGATGTGCACCAGCCATGGCGTTTTCGCGTATCTGTATTGACCTCGGTTCGGCTCTTGAACCCCTGAGACGATCCAAGATACCGACGTATCCCGGTGTTCTATCTTGAGCATCTTGGTGCACTCCACCGACATCGACCCTAGATGTAGCTCATCTCAACGGAATCTGCAACTTACAGGCTCGTTCTTTCTGGAATTTTAATTCATCATGGTACGTACAAAACCAATTCGCACTTTCCACAAGCTTTCACCAGTAACCACCTATTGCTTGATAGAAACTGCAGAGGTGCACCTTCCTCGAAATTCAAGGATCTTCAACGCCATACTCGGTTCCGACCTCGGTCATTATGACTTCCCGACATCTCTTCGGGCAATTACCCTTATCCTTCGTTGTTGCACACAAAAGAGCTTCCCAAATGATTTCCCTTGAAGAACTCGTTGGGCTTTTCCCTCATCTCTTTTGGATTTCGCTGCCGCGCCAAGTTGCTCCATCAAAGCTCTCGTCGGTGTCGCCGATCCAAACGACCTCATTTCGCCTGAAATAGGGTTAGATGCACAGCTTTACGGCGGATCAATCACGAGGCTATCGCTTGCCCATTCGCAATCATCGACGGCTCTTATAATTACTCTTCCCCTTACCCTTTTTGACGTCTAAAAAAAGGGCTGCTGCCCCCCCGTCAGTCAGGTCCGATGCTACGTCGACAGAGCGTCAAGTCCAAGTCGGATCTCAGACGCCGCAAATCAACTTTGTCAGCAACACACGGAGTCCATCTCGAACATCTCGATCCAGCCGTCGCTCAACGAGACGCCCAGGTTGCTGCCTGTCAGGCATACGCTCGAGCTCAAGATCGGAGTGCCAAGGCAGACATGTCACTATTTCCGCCAACACCCGATACCTCTCCACGTCGAACACAAGCAGCTCGGAGCGGCACTAAGCCTGAAGCAAGTTGCGCTCCCCATCACGGACGGGAAAACAGCCAAGATCTTCACCGGAGGCAGAGTGTGCGGTTTATGGGGCCGTGTTCTGTGAAAGGGGAGAAAGGCCTTGGTCAGGGTGCTTACTCCCACACCAGACGAAACTCTATGGAGATTGGCCAAGACACTGCGCAATTGCAACTCAACGATCAAGATTCAAGCAGCGTTCACAGTTATAGTTTGGCCAACAACGTCAAGGAGCTTTCGATTCTACACCAGTCATGCCAACCTCCCAAACCCTCGCCTTCAGCTCCCGTCACCGGTATTGCGGCCGACTATCTCTATGCTCTTGTCGCCAGCGAAGATTACTACACGCCAGAAGATAACATCGCCTCTGCTCCATCTTCATACCGTCGTATCAGAAAGTCCAGATCAATGTTCACTTCGGAAGATCACGAGAGCAGGAAAAGTCAAGACGACTCCGTGTCATTTGTCAATGGTAGAGTTCCTCCTACCAGGTCAACACTGGGTAACTCAAGCTACAAGATGGTCGCCGATGACAAGGAGAATGATCCCATGACGGGACTGCCGCCGCTGAAAACTCCAAAGTCGATGAGTTTCTTGAGGACCCGGAGCACTCACTCCCGATCAGACACACATAGGGCCAGCTTGGACCAAATGCATAGTCCTCTTGAAGCCCCCAGTGTGCTGGGCAATGGGTCCCATGCCAGCGAACGAGGTACCCCACGTCTTGTTTCCAAAGCTTCAACAATCTTCAGTGCACGGAATCGAAGAGCCGAGCCAAAAATGCGAAAATCGCTTCGGAGCGCCAGCTGGGGCGATGACTTGGCCGAAACAAACCCGAACCTCACGCTTCCAACTACACCCTCGGGCAAGGATGATGGGTTCAAACGTAAAGCCAGAAAGGTCTCCAAATCATTGAAAACGAAGCTGAAGAGTTTCTTCAGTTTGGCCAAATCTGAGGATTCGTGCACAATCCCAGTTCAGCACATCGACTCTCAGAGAACCCATGTCATGGAGGATGTCGTGTCCATACACTCCACAGCATCAGATCAAGAGGTCGCGGAAAAGATAGAATGGGGCTCGATTCATCAAGTGCCTTCCAAAATACCCTCTCTCCAGATTGTCCCGTCCAACCTCCATCACTCAAACAAGGGAAGCCTCGAGAGCCTTAGGAGTGAACGAGAACGCAATATTTCGGATGACAAGTCATTGACCACCTGGGTTCACTCAGGCCCTAGCACTCTAACCAGCCAGCAACAAGAAGAATGGAGAGAGTGGGAGCGACAACGTCTTTCCATTATCAAGGAAGGCGGCACGCACGCCCCCTCGCCATCGATCCACAGACAAGCCCTCGGGACTCAGTTATTTCAACGCTTCGATGGCTCGACGACACAAACTAACCCACCTGGTTTGGGTGTAGATAGTCAACGAGTGTACTCTGCTTTGATGAAGCGGGTGCGCGATATGCACAACCAGACATTTCCAGCTGCGGAACAGCAACGCGAACCCGGGAGTTTGACTCACGCATTTCTCCGCGAAAGATCATCACTTCGATCTTTGAGCAAAGCACGACATTTCTATCATGATACAGATCATATCGATACCCCAACGCGCGCTTCAAGAAAAAGCAGTTTGTCTGGATGCCAGGAAGCTCAAGTCCACCAACAGGGAATGCGTTCCTCGTCCGCAATGACCTCACGGTCTGCCGAGACCGGATGGGGTGACTCAAAAGCTACTCGACCTGGCGTCCAAGCTGGCAGGTCAAAGACTGCCCCTGCTCCCGCATCTAGCTCACAGAAAATGCATCAAGATCCCTTCACAGAGCATGACAGTGACGCACTGGGAGTTCAGGATCATCAATTTGAAGGCCAACAGCTTCACGACAACCTTGGTCAGAACTCAGCCGCCTCAAACACGCCTGGTTCACATCTGTTCCGAACAACAAGTCCGTTCCGGCGTACTTTGCGGGAATCTATGGAGGCTGAATACAGTGCTATAGCACAGGCAATCCAGGAATCGATTCATCATATCAGCTCAGACGACGACACGCGCATCCGTTACTCTGGTCAAATCGATCCTGCCTCAAAGAATAGAACTGAGGTCACGGACAACAACGACTACACTGAGAGTGTGTATTCTACAGACGAGATCGGGAACGGTCCGTTGAATGGGGCATTGGATGATAGCTACAGTCTGTGCAACAGGAGATCTGTAGGCTCGCCTCTCGCTTACCATCCGGCGAATCATCGGATTGAGTCCTCAGCCAGCTCTGTTGACTGGAAGACCTGGCTATCAGCAAATATTGGCAAGGATGAACCGTCTCCTTCGACCCCAGTGGAAGTTGCATACGCCATTCCAACGATGCCCAACAGCTTTCCCAATCGTCATGTCCGTGAGTCTACACAAATCAACGAAGAATGCGAGGATGATGGTGGCGTGTACGAACCTCCAACCCATCGGCTGTCACTTCCAATTTCTCCCTTGGCGACAATCGAGCCCAACGTCGTAAAGTTATCGCCAGAACAGCGCTCAATCAAGCGTACCACACCACCTCTTTCCGGTAGAGCTTTACTCGAGAATGATAGCCCAGGTGCTCCTCCTATTCCCGCAAAGAGTGTTTTGAGATGCACCCCTTCGCCACTCAAGCGTTCTGCTGGGCCGAATCGAGGTCACTACATGTCACCATCGATCACGTCCAGCCCTGGTTTAAGTGCGGCGGTTCAACGTCAGTTTGGACCGGTCTCTACCAAGCAGAATGGCTATGTGACTGATCATCAAAAACAAGCTGAGTCCTCCGAAGATGGCCATGCACGCCAGGACAGTGTAAGAGCGGCAGACAATAAGAGCTTCGGGAAGTTGAAGATCTCACAGATACTGGAGGGAGGATTCCGTCGAAGGGTAGCGAGCAGTGACAGCGGCGCGGCAGCCTTTCTTTGATTGATTTTGGTGAAGGGGAGCAACTCGGGCTTCAGATAATGTACGACCGACTAGCGTCAGGTCTCACCACTGTACTATATCATTTCTTATGTATGGGTGTACAGCATAGTGCATTTGCTCTGTCAGGGATGGATGTATGCACAATAGAATCGATAGAGGACAGGTCTGGTAATGGGAGCATGGGATAGGGTAAAGGGCTTAGAGAGGTCTAATTCGGGGTCGGTAGTTTTCTGTTACTCATTCAGCTTGACGATATCATGGTTATGGGAATCATCCAGATATGAAATGACGAAACCAAATAGAGATATAAAAACAACCAAAGCCGTGGCATCCCAGAGAGAAAATAATGATAAAAAAAAGAGAAGAAAAAAGAGATGCAGTGGCACCTTGCAGTGGTGACAGCGAGCAAATTACCAATCAGCTTGCGCCTGTCTAGCCACAACGGTAGGTAGGTCGGTTCATATAAGTGAGGGGACAAGCACCCAGGTGCAAGGCGCAATGATGTCGGCTTACCGAGTCCGGTGCGAGGAAGAACCGTCAGTCGGTTCACACTCTCAACGTGCTTCACCCTACCAGTCTGCCTGGAGGGGAGAGGCTGAGGTTACGGAGATACGGACGACGGCGTTAACAAGATGAATGTCGATAAAGTCCGGCGAAACCCTTGGCGGAGTTGGCGCCTCGGCTTTGCACGTCTGTACTTGTAGTGAGATGAAGATTATTAGAACGAATGAATGAATAGGCTTAACTATGCTGCACTAGAAGGCGCCAGAGAAGCTTTGATGACGTCGAAGTTAATTGTTTGGTAGGTTGGTTGGTTCGTTGATTGACACACCCCCACCCCAAAAGCGCCTTTAAAAGTCGGGCATTCTCATATCATTTGATAGATACATGTAACGAACGGCCTTTGATGCATTCTTTGGGCACCAGGGAGAGCTGTCAGTCAGGTCAAAGCGGTACGTATGTGGTATTCACATGCGCAGGGAAGGATGTCCCGGCGACCGGGTGGTCCGCGAAAGAAATGGAGAATTGAGCGACGTCTGAAGGGTCCTGCATACGCCATGTTGTACTTGGGACGCTTGGATTGGAATTTTAAGGGCTTTTGAGAGAGAGCGGCCCGGAGAGAGCGGTGGATGGGTGGATAGATGGGAAGTTCGAGGAGTGAAACCCTTTTTTTCCCACTTTGACGGTGAGTTGGGCATTACTCGGGAAAAGGAAAGGAAGGAAATGTTGGTTCCATCCATTCGGGCAGTTGGGGCTGGAAATGGAGATGGATTCCTTGGTGGGAACAGCTGAAGGACAAGCATTAATAAAACAGGCACAGCCTGGTACAACTGGATGGCCAAGCACCATATGGCTTAGTACCTCTACCTGAAACTGTTCGTACATTGCTTCAAACTCATTTGTTCAGTTTCAGATTTGGGCTCTTCCGTTTTGATGGGTTTCGATACCAAAACGCACAAGTCCCAAGCGGTCGGTTGAACATTACGCAATGGGAAGAAAAGGAGCATGAACTATGATGTACAATTACATGATCAGCGTGGGATTGACATGCGCCTCGAGAGCAGCCAATAGCAGGCCAGCAGCATGTTTAACCGCAATTCAGGTCCTCCTCCCTCGACTCGGAACTTGAAAGGAGGAGGAGAGACAAGTGCATAAAAAGTCATCACGCAAGGCAGACGCCCAAAACCTCCATCTTTTCTTCTCCACGTTCTCTCGACGAGACAACTTCCTCTGAGGTTAGTGGTCAATCTTCGCTTTCCGCATAGCCTGCGCAACGTAATTTAGGTATCGGTCTTGCATGCCGTGCTCTAGCAGGGATCCCTAATCTGGATCGCGCTAGGTGACTCCAGGCCCCGGATCCGCTACAACAAGATTACCTGCGATTACGCCGACCCAAACAAAGGTCACCTTCATTTTAATCTCCACGCCCCCCGTCAGACCTGACTCTACCAAGGCTTAGCAAAACCAAAAAAAAACTCCGAACGACACCGTTGCCCTATCTCACCCTTTCTCTATCCTGTCTGCCCTCTCCCTCCGTCTCCGACCCGTCGTCACCAGCGATCCATCACAACGAAGTCCAGGTTTCTCCATGTTGCATGACACAAACGACAACGACCACCCGACGACCCAGGCACCTATCACGTCGCCTTTGTGAGAGAGCGAACTTAACTGAATCTGCCGAACATCCCGTCAACCGACAATCTCTTCGACCTGGATACCCCTTAATCGAAAACAGAAACAAACAATAATCCAAAAATGAACGCCCTTCAGCAGAAGTGCCGGCCCAAGCACCAGGTCTTGGTCCTCAAGTGCTATCCTCGAACCATTAAGGGCGCCGTCGATGTGAAGCCTAATTCGAGCGAGCTGAGCTACCTCCTGTTCTACTGCCAGTCGCGCCGCGCAAAAATCCAGAAAGTTGGCAGCTTCCTCGAGAAAAAGACTGCCAGTGATGTCTACCACCAGAGGATAGGGTAAGTATATCTGTTTGAGCCTGATGCCATGAGCAACACACCACAACCCCTCGTCGCACAGCATCTCTGGACGGATACTAACGAGTGCATGCATACACCAAACAGTAACGTCCAGGTTACCCTTCAGATCCTCGCTGCCCTGATCGAAAAGTCTCCCAAGGACCTCCCCCTGTTCGCATCATGTGTCCTCAGCATCCTCGAGCAGGTCCTCAAGTCGAGCGACATCACCATGGTCGAGTCTTCGATCCCGACCTTCCAGGCCTTCTGCGAGAACCATGACCCTACCTCGCTCGCCGCCGACCAGGCCTATTTCCGCCAATATGTCTCTGTCGTCCAGCAGTACGCCTCTCTTGCCTCGACACGTCCTGCGCCTGGAAAGGCACAGCATAGTAAGCCTATCGCTCTGCGGTGGAGGAATGCCGGTTTGGAGGCCATTAGGAGTGTCGCCTCTTCCGACGCCCTATCTTCCATGGTTGCCCGCCAGTACGATATCCTTGTCCCCATGATTCTGGAAAACCTATGGACGGAAAACGAAGACTTTCTCGACGTCTTGCTGCAGAGAGTCCAAGGGGACAACAATGTCGAGGATGCGCCGCTGTTGCGGAGGAGGACGAGCAATGCCACGGCCCAGCCATCTGAGACGACCGGCGGTGAGCCTGGCCCCAACCCCATCGCTTTCCTGGGAACCGCGGTGGATGTCGACAAGCTGGCGGAGGAAGATATTGGCGTCTTGGCCATGCAGTGCTTGCGACAGGTCTTTGTTGCGCCCAGCCGATCTCAGACGCATAACCCTACCATTGCTCTGCTCAGGTTCATCGAGGAGCGAGTGGACCAGAACGAACAGGTCGTCAAGAGGGATGCTCACGGGAAGGACAATGGGTGGGCGATCAAGGTATTTTTGATGGCGGCTCGGTGGGCGCCGGTCGCGGACAGATTCACCATTCTCCTCACAGCCATTGAGGTGCTTACGCAACGACCCCTAACCGACGAAAACCTGCGACACCACAACATCCAGGCGGCTATGATTAGCGCTCTCTTGCGCTCGGATGTCAACCTGATCGGCTTGAGCGTCATGGACGTCCTTCTCAACCTCCTTGGCCATATGCAGAGGCTTGTTCAGATGCCAGGGGACCCGGATAGTATGAGGGTCGAGGACGAGACAATCGGCACCGATGAAGGGGCTATAGGACAGCGCAGAGAGTTGTTGTTCAGGCTGCAACAGTGTATTGGCGACTTGGCCACTCACGTTTACTACGCCGACCAGATCTCGGACATGATCCAGACGATTCTCCTTAAGCTACGGCCATCCAGGCCGACCAGCCCCCCGAACTCCTCGCCAAACGGAGAGAGGTCGGAGAACGGAGCCGCTGAGGACCAACCCCTCGAATCTCTTTTCGCTCTTACTGTCGCCAAGATTGCGGCGCTTAAGGCTATCAAGGCGATTCTTTGGGTTGCCAATCCCCGCACAAAGATGAGCGGCGGCCACATCAACCTCTCCAGGAATCGTGTCCCCATCCAGACCTGGGATGGTACCCAATGGCTTCTGCGGGATCCTGATGGCCTTGTACGCAAGGCATATGTAGATGCTGTTGTGACTTGGTTAGATCGGGAGACCACACCAGCAGATTCCCTAGCGAGGGACGAGTCTGCCAGGACAACGCTGAAGAACCGGGCTGCGCAGGAAAACAATCTGGCTCGCCGGGTCGTCTCAAGCGCATCTGCCCGGGTGGACAAGTCGGCAAATGCACCACGCTCGCATTTCTTGCAGCTCCTCCACCTTGCTATCTACGACCATGCTTTGCAGTTTGTTGACTACGAGAATGATCTGGTGCTGCTCCACGTACTCTTGGCCAAGCTCGTGAGTCAGCTCGGTGTCAATGCTGCCAAGTTTGGTATTCCCATGATCTTCAGACTCCAAGAGGATATCCAAGATGTTGAGACGCCCCTTGGAAAGGTCCGCATTGGCAGCTTGGTACATGGTTACCTCTGGACTCTGACCGAGAAGTTTGACTGCGAAGGAACTGCTCCCGGGAGCGCCATCCACGGCGAGATTATCAGGCGCCGTAGCAAGAACTTTTGGGTCGAGGGTATCAACATCCCCGCTCCTGCCGTTGATCTCGTAGGCACACCGGGTCAGGCACGCCCCCCACCACAGATGAACATGCGGGATCTCGAGTCCGAGGCGCTTTTGCCGTTCGATGAGCGCGCATCCCTGGTAGACTGCATCTGCACAGGCTATCAGGAACTGGCAACCTCCCCTCCTACAAGCCCGACCACTAGTCCCGGTCGGAACTTCACCCACCCGATGCTCGGGTCGACGTTGAGCGCGACCCCCAAGGACGAGACTCAGCGGGAAGTCCCAGCACAATTTCGCGAGCTGATGCTCGGTGACTGGACACGCGAAGCAGTGCTCGCCAACACGCAAGCCGGCAGCAGCCAGACCGCCTCGCTCAACGGCACAAACGGTACTCACCGCAACACTGTCAACAACAACAACCGCCTCGGCGTAAACGGCGTGACCTCACCAAACGGCAGCAACTCCAACCTCCGCCCTTCGTCTTCCCCAACAGGCCCCAACGGCGTCCAAGCCGGCAGGACGCGCAAGACCAGCATCCGCAGCAACGGCGGCGGCTCACCCGCCCACTCTACCTACAGGGCTAAGGCCCAACAACCAGTCACGTCCGTGGAGCAGCTCAAGGCCGTTCTGTCAGGCCACCTCCAACCCCCGCCAACCTCGCACGGCATCGGATTCCAGCACTCTGATGATAGCGACGATAGCCTCGTCAGCTATGACATGGCGCCTAGCGAGCTGTCGTTCAACCCAGCCGCCTCTGGCAGCAGGCAGGGCTCACCCGGTAATACCAGTCAGGCCGCTTCCAGCCCGCCACGCCGCACATCCCAGGATCGGACTCAGCAGCTGAAGTTCGGAGGGCCGCTCGTTCCGGGAGAGGAGAGCGCCGTCAACGGTGCTGGTGGTCAAGAAGGATCCAACGGCGCCGCAGGTAACCTCGGCGTCCCCATCTCGCGAACTACTTCCCGCACTCAACAACCCCAGGCTACTACTGCGCACACCACCCTTCCGAGGCCATCAACTTCCTCCAAGAGAAGCATCAAGAGCCGGGCGGGCTCTCGCGCGGGACCAATGTCCTCGTCCTGGCTGGGAGAGAAGCCTCCCGCTATGGACCTGGCGGCTTTGTTGAAGGGAATTGATAGTGCTTCGATTAGCGATATCAAGAGTTTGGGGGCAGGGGGAAAGCCTCCTTACTAAACCGATCAAGAGGAAAGAGGAGTGAGGGAAGCTGATGATGGGTGGTGTTGAATCTGGGAAGGGAAAGGAAAAACAAAAAACATATATATCTTTTAACGGGGTCTGGTGTCTCTTTTTTTTTTTTCGTCTTCTTTGTCTTTTGAGGCTTATTTATTGACTCTGTTATTCTTTCTTACTTTTATTTTTAAAGTTGATTAATGGGGTTTGAACTTTTGGAGCTGGAGCGGGCAGGAGCGGCATGAAGGGAAGATGGTGGGGTTGGGGGAGGAGGAAGGAGGTTACGGAAGGGGGAGTATATATCGTTAGTGGGATAAGTTACTTACTAGCGTTGTTCAAAAAGGAATCTTTTATGTTATCTTGTTCTTGTTCTTGTTCTTGTTCTTAGAGAAAGGGGCGCGCGCGGGCGGGGATATATTGGTATACTGCAACTCACATTTTCATGTTCTTTTGTCATCACCATGTTCCATGTTACCTTATCTCTTTACTGATTGACCTAATGGTTTCACTTGGCTCATTTGCCCTTTCTTTTTTCTTTTTTTTTTTTTTTTCTTGTGTATGCTGAGCTATCAGCTAGAAGTAACTTTATGTACATTGCCGAGCTACCTACATTTCCTTTTCGTTGCATGTGGGGGGAGAGAGATCAATGTAAGACAAAACAAAAGAGATATGAATATGGAAGGGACACAACCGTCTATCAACTTGTTCTCCACGGGCAACTGTTTTATATCAATAGATGCAGTACCAAAAACTTGCGTATTCCTTTACTAGATAAAAAGAACTCCGAAAGGGTCAGAAATTCATTCACAATCGCCAGGCGCATAACTATCACCGAGTCTGACGCAAAGAAATGGTATAAACCAGCTTTACAATGCTCCATACTTTTATATATACCTGGATGCCATATACAGCTCAACAAATAGTGCCCTTATAATACAATATACAGTTCAGATAACCATAACATACAACCTTCCTTCCCCGCCCATACCTAACCATACAAACCCACCACGACCTCACAACCAAAACTGTACTATAGCTTTGCCTTGCTGGCACTCACATCCGTCGCCCCCTGGCCCGCGCACAGCAACACGGCGCTGCCCAACTGCCTCCTCAAATCGACCTTTTCGACATCATGCGTGTCTTCCACCTCACCCCACTGCGTCGTCTGCCAGTCCACCTCCAAACTGACCGCCTTGGCTGCTTCCTCCACCCCCCACCTCTTTGTGTTCATCTCCTCCTCTTCAGCCGGAGTCTGAACAACGGCATTGCCCCCATCCCCACTCCACTCCACCACCAACCTCGCAGCCACCAACAAGCTCTTGCCCGCCAGCGTCGCCCTCTCCAGTGCCGCCAGCTCCCACGCCGACAAGCCCAACATCCACCCCTGCACCACCTCGCGCGTGCCCGGTTCCTGCTGGCGAGGCATGATGCTCGTTTCGTCGAGGACCGGCACGATGGTCACGCCCGGCCAGACGCGCGTCGTCAAAAACGAGACGACGGAGCTGTACGCTTCCTCTTGCACTTCTCTGAGGGTATACCCGGCCTCGTTGCGCCCGTCTTCGGGGTGCTCGGGCGCGGGCGCCCAGCAGAGGAGGGAGTCGGTGTCGAGGTAGCGGAGCAAGACGGTTGCGATGGCGTTGCGGATGTCCGTCTTTCCCAGGCTGTCTTCGTCGGCGATGTCGAGTGCTCTGCAGACGAGAGAGGTGAGGGGGATGAGATGTTGCTTGGTCGCTTGTTGCGCAGACACGAGCTGGTCCCATTCGATGGCGAGCGCCGAAGCGAGCGAAGGTTTGGTCAAAGGTAGGCGGATGATGGATTTGGTGTCGGGCCGGCGGAGCGGGCGCGAGTCGAGGTGGATTTCGTTCATGTCGTTCTTGGTCGCGACGTGGACGGATTTCCAGAAACGCCGCTTGAGGAGTCCGATGCCGCCCGGCGCGGAGGAGGAGCCGGCGGTTGGGGGCAAGGTGGCGGCGCGCAGCATGGCGGCTTGCCGCTTGCGGCGGGAGATGCGGGACCAAGGGTCGGCGGCGGTGCCTTCTTTGATTTCGGGAATGGCGCCGCTGTTGTGAGAGGGATGGGTGGAGGATGAGGTGCTGGAGGCGAACTCGGCGGCGGGCTTGGGTGGCTCGGGAGGGGGGCCGGTTCCGTAGACGGGTACAACCTTGGCTTGCTCGGGTGGGCTGGAGTGAATTACGCGGGCGCTATTGCGGTAGGCTAGGAGAGTTCGGGAGGAGGGGAGAATGGCGGCGCGCTGGCGGAGGAGAGGAGCGGCCAGACGCATCCGCATCGCGGCGGCGGCGGCGGGCGTCATGGTGTTTTTAGGTGTTTCGGTCTGCTTAATTCGAGGTACTTGCGGGAGGAAGTGGGTGAGTAGAAGCTTCAGGTCGAGGAAAGCAGGACCTAGCCACTCGTCTGGGAATCGGGCAAGGGTTTGCTGAGCGGTGAATGTTGCCGTGGCCGAGGCTGCTGTCGTCGTCGTCGTCGGCGGTGGATGCTGCTGGGACGGAAGAAGATCGTCGGAAAGATTAAATTGGAGCTCCCGAACAGGACGCAGGCCGATCGCGAAGAATGGAACATTTTCGCCAAGACTTTGGCGCAAGTCACCTCAACCCGGCCGGGTCCCCGCCCCGTCCCGCACTGGACGTTTGTAAGCGCTGCGGATCCACTCCACTTCCCCTGCGCCGGTCCCCCACCGCCCACCGGAGCGATGCACGGTGTAAGGGTGGGGTCAGCCGTTCCGGTGGGCCATAATCTCCGATAAGCTTTGATGACATCACTGTCCTTATACATAGAGGTAGTCCTGGTCATTTATCGCGGTTCACAGATTTCAGTTCCAGTTCACAGTGTTAAGGGATTCAGAGTTGTGAACGACAGTGTTGATGATGAAGATAGTCTATTGAGGGTCTTGATGGAAAGCAACCTAGGTACATTTTCATTGATCGAGTCTCCCATAGCTTCCGGTATCTCGTCAACCGACCCATTGGCGGCGGCAATGACTACAATCAGGGTCTGGAGATATATAAGCCTTGCGAATGTTCAAAGATGGCAACATCATCGACCCTGATTCCCGTGTTGAGGGGCAGTTAGTAACCTCATCTCATGGACCACTGCCCTGATAGTTGCCCGGCCGCCTACCATTGACGCCGGGTCGAAATCATAATTTGCTCTTCCCTCCTATCATTCAACACCCCCGAAAGGAACAGATAGTAAGCTAAGCAATTTGACGAAAATTTAATTGGCTAAAGTCACAGGTCAAGCCTACCAGTTTGATTCTCCACAACGGCACTTTCAGACGGGGGTGCCCGATTCCGCCGGTCGGACTGTCAATAGCCCCTCTCCTTTCTCCTCCTCCCCTCCCTCCCCTCGCCGTTCCGCTCTGGACTAAGGAACATGTATACGCCAAGACAACGGCGATGCGACGCAACTACGGTACGATAATCGGCGAATGGTAAATTACCGAGAAGGTGGCTGTGCGGGTAATGGGGATTATGCGAGAGCATTGTTCCATTGTTCTTTTGGCTGTTCTTTTCTCTTTTTGCGACGAATATCTCTATGTTTGTGACGGTATCCCTCTCATTTCCTTCGCAGCTTTTGAAAGAATCGGGTAGTGATACGAAATCGATGAATGTACGTTATCTTGCAGACTCACAGTCACGAGATAATAAATTGACCTCCAAAGACGTCCCTGACACTGCATCTTAGATCGACTAGTAAGCCACAAGCCAGGCCATTGCGGGCATGAAGGCTACCTTTGCAAGCCTTGAAATAGGACAGTGCTTCACATGGTCTGCATCGTCGTTTGGATAGCACTGCCGGTCTTTGAAATTCCGGAGGGTTGCGGGCTTTCGCTCGTGTTGCTGACGGGAGTCAACAATGCGGTTTCTTCGTCTTGTGTGGATGTCTTCTGAGTTTTACGGCGAGCAGCCTTTGGACCATGCTCGACTTCTCCTGTTCCGAGTTCCTCAGAGCCACGCTTGCGAGCGGTCGGTCGGGCATTTTTTTGAAGAGCGGGGGCTGAAAGATGTGGGAACAGGAGCGTTGAAGGTGCCAATCCTTGCCCCACTAACAATGGCGAGGGTGAGGAACCCTCGGTGTGGTTACTCTTCGATCGTAGGGGTGAGCTGGTAGAGGGCGCTAGCAGAGAAGCCGATTGCGTCCTGATTGGAGTGTGAGGGCATTCCATGTCCTCGTCGTTAAACCACGACGGCGGCGGACTAAGCGGTGACATAGGCGGCGAGCATGGCGACACATCTGGTGATCCGGAAGGAACATGGCGGATATTTGCAGCCTTTTTGCGCTGGTTGATCGGTGTGAATTTCGTCGCCATTTTGCTCTCGCGATGCAGTTGCTCTATTGGGAAAGATGAAAAGATGAGAATTTGGTGTTGCCAGACTGTTGGCCTGTTTTTACTCCTCATATTCTCGCCAGTTTGGCAGGGAGCTTTCTTTATTTTCAGGGACTGAGTTGATTCTTTCTTCTTCTGTAATGGGATTTTTCTGGAGATTAGTTGCTTCTGACTGTCTGAAAGGGAAGAAAAGAAGTCAGGGAGACATCGCTGCGTGCTCACTCCTTCCCAATGCGATGGGTCACGGTAGAAGGATTATTATTGCAAGGAAAGAGCACACTGCTGAAATGGTCTGGAGGGCAAGTCAAAAGGGTGCCAGCGTAAGTTGCCCTGACAGATCGATGCATAGCTCGCTCTCACCGATGCACTTGTTCGTCATCATCAGTACTTACCTACCTACAAATACACATTGAAACCATGGAGCTTTGCTTCGAGCATACGACATAGTGGTTGATGAGTCCTGCTTGACATATTAGAAGTACCGGGATTTTAGTCCTGATGACGACTATCACGTAATTCGTCGTCCTCAACCGAACGTGCCAACAGCGGTGCTTTCCCCGAGACCATGTTGCCAACCAAACTGAAGCATGTAGGTGATGTTGAAGTGCGGCCCGTGGTTATCAACGCCGAAATCAAATGTCAGCTTACAATTTGAAGCGTGGTTGCACAGCGTTTGGCGTTGGACGGCAATAGTCCGAAGATGGCGCTCGAATCCATACTTCACGCGCGGTCACCATCTTGGCACATAACAGATGTTCCATAGACAAAAACATAACATTTGTTGAGGTGGCCGTCAATCATGACAATTGGTACGCCGATGGTGGTCCGATTCGACATCTCGAGAGGAAATTAAATGCCCAAACAACACGGAGGCTTTGTACAGGATTTCATATCGACGTGTCGGCGCCTGGTGCGACCAGTGGAGTTGTGTTGCATCAATTCCGGTATTCCGCTTGATACAGCGGAATGTTGAGATGAACGGCTGCACTTGATACTCGCACAACGACGAACTGTGTGGGTCATTGGCCCTAACACAGTTCCGCAAAATGGATGCCGAGTGGGGTGGTCGGCGATGCGGTGACGGTTTCGGCCGTCTCTCGGTCCCTCCGCTTACTCTTTACCAGTCAATGAAAAGAGACAGGGCAAAGACTAAAAAGACGAGTATAGTGAGGGCATCGTGAGATTGCAAATCCCAAGTAGTAGAGGTAGTGTCGTTGATACCGGAAATGGTGTACCGCGGTATACCTAGGTAATGTACATGGACGAAATAGGAAGAAGAGTGGGTCTGCTTTCCCCAGATCGAAACTCTGATAGCCGAGGCCCGATTTGGGGGAAACCGTTACCTACGAACCTGCTGATGTGGGGAAGTGGGGATACGTTAACGGCACCTAGAAGCGGAAAGCTCAGTGCGGAATTGTGGTCACTTTTTCGTCTCCTTGCATCATGTACACTACAAGCCGTGGATCATGGCCGGGACCTCCAACCGCGGCCAAGACTCGGACAGATGGCGGAAACAACTCGGTGGTGACGGGACTGATGGAGATGGAGGTGGAGGGCGACTGAATGGGAAATGGGCGCGGAAAAGGCGCGCAATTTGATGGATTCCTTTTTCCCCTCCTGTGCCCTTTCTCTTCTTTTCTTTTACCAATCTCCCGTCCCTCATTCATCAGTCTCCATCTCTGTCCGCCCTCCCAGGTCACCCTTGACAAACAGCCGCAGGACTGAACTTCCGTCCGAGTCCCTTTTCTCCGCCATATTCTACTACTCACCAACACTTCAGAATGGTCTTCTATCCTCCGCCTTGGGTGCCTAAGCTCCCCTTCGGTACGTTAAGTTCCAGCCCGGCCATCCATGACCGGCTACTTGTCGTCTCTAGCCGTGCCTCCACTAACGACAACCAGACCCTCCCGATTCAGTCACCATTGGTGAGTTTATGAAGAATGAAGTCTACGGCCGCCGCCCCATCGACAAGAGCAAGAACCCTTGGACATGTGGTCTTACCGGCAAGACATATACCGTGAAGCAGGCCTTTGAAAGGACAGAGCTCCTTGCAAAAGCCCTCCACAAGTTGATGGGATGGGAGCCCAACGCCGACTTGCCTTGGGATAAGGTCATCTGCGTCTTTTCTTACAACACCATCGACTACATTTCCGTCCTTCACTCGGTCCATCGCTTGTCTGGCATCGCAACTCCTGCCAACGTCGCATATAACGCTAGTGAACTCGAGCACCAACTTCGCTCTTCTGGCGCAAAGTGCCTGTTCACATGTCTGCCCGTCCTGGAGACCGCCCTCCAGGCCGCCAAGGCCGTGGGCATCCCTGAAGACAGGATCTTCCTGATGGAGCTGCCTCACCATTCCAAGAAGCTTCCCTACAAGACCGTCGACGACCTCGTTGAGCTCGGCCGCTCCGTACCCGACCTCGAGCCGCTCCAATGGACCAAGGGTCAAGGCGCGCGCCAAGTCGCATTCCTCTGCTTCTCGAGCGGCACCTCTGGTCTTCCCAAGGCCGTCATGGTTTCGCACAGGAACGTGATTGCCAACACGATGCAAATCAGCTTATTCGAAGATTACGGTCGCAAGAAGAAGGGTGTCAAAACACAAGTCGAGCTCGGATTGCTACCCTTCAGCCATATCTACGGCCTTGTCGTGGTCGCTCACTGTGCCCCATGGCGCGGCGACGAGGTCATCGTTCTACCCAAGTTTGAGTTTAACGAGTTCCTTCAGGCCATTGAAAGATTCAAGATCAACTACCTCCCGCTGGTACCCCCCATCATCGTTCGTATGTTGAGCAGCAGGGATACTGTCAAGAAATTCGACTTGAGCAGTGTCCGCCATGTCTTTACGGGTGCCGCCCCTCTCGGATCGGAAACACAGGACGAGTTGCGCAAGCTACTCCCCAAATGGAAGGTTGGCCAAGGTTATGGCTTGACGGAAACGGCAACTGTCGTTAGCGCAACAAGTGAGCATGATATTGTGCAGGGCACATCAGGCTCTCTGGTCCCTGGAGCCAAGGTCAAGCTCATCGACCAGGATGGAAGGGAGGTTACAGAGTACGGAAAGCCTGGTGAACTTCTCGTCCAGTCGCCATCCGTTACTCTTGGATATCTCAACAACGAGCGTGCCACCAGCGAAACTTATGTCTTTGACGAAGATGGAAGGTGGATGCGAACGGGAGATGAGGTCATCGTGACCAAGTCGCCGGCGGGATACGAACATATCACTGTCGTTGACCGTCTGAAGGAGCTGATCAAGGTCAAGGTACGTACAGTAAATTCCACCGCACTGCCAAATTGTGGGGCCCAAGTACTGACATATGATGCTTTCAGGGACACCAAGTTGCGCCCGCCGAGCTAGAAGCCCATCTCCTCTCTCACCCCGCCGTAGATGACTGCGCTGTCATTGCTGTGCACGACGATCGCGACGGAGAAGTGCCAAAGGCCTTTGTTGTGACACCCGCTTCCATGTCTTCCCGCCCTGACGCGGAGATCGCGGCTGAGATTATCAAGCATGTGCAGGAGCACAAGGCCCACTACAAGTGGCTCAAGGGAGGTGTCGAGTTCATTGATGCGATTCCCAAGAGCCCAAGTGGAAAGATCTTGAGGCGCTTGTTGAGGGATAAGGATAGGGAGGCTAGACGGGCTCAAGGCGCTAAACTCTGAGCGAGGAAGTAGTAGTAGAAATAATTTGAAGAAAGCGTTGTTGGGAATATCGTGTCGTTGGATACCTTTGAGATGCTTGATATAGGGAAGAAAATGGGTCGCGTTAAGATATCCAAGCAGTTGGCATGAATGATGATACCATGAAAAATCAGAGTTGTGGACAAAGTGACTGATCTTCTGCTTCTGTGACAAATCCATTTGCATTCAGGCTTATCGGGTATCGGCATCTCTTGAAGGTATTGGGCCTTGGTTAAGTAGTGGGACTCAAAACCGGTTACTATTAGTAACATTTAGATAAGCTATTGCTCTCTTTCAAGGCTTAAAAGCCATTGTACGAGTTTTGTGTAGGTCGAGGTGTTGATGGAGTTGGCACTGCTCATGCATGTTCAGACTCCAGCCAAAAGTTATGTCGTCATAGGCTGCACTGTCCCGCAAGAACAACATGATCCTACAAGATAATAGCCATGATTTTCATAGGCAAGGAATATCGGGAAAAATAAACAATGCAACATCCCTATAAAACATATCTCGTCCATCGATCGGTCTCTTCTAGAGGTCTTGGCTACCTCTCCCTTTTCGGAACACGGCATTGACTTTTCACTACCAAACTGGTCTACATAGTGTATACACCAACCTCCTTAACCACTTCCCTAGACCCACATTTCACTCATACCCATAATGTCACTAAGCCGTCACGTAAGTTTGAGCTTCAACAACTCAAAGTCATTGCAAATTGTTAACTTGCACAAACTCTACAGGTTGATCCCGAGGAGATCATCCATCACCTCAAGGACATCAGGCTCCAAGAAAAGGGCAGTGGAAGCCAGAGGCAGAATCACCTTACACCCTACAACAGCTCCTACGCCAGCCAAGAAGACATCCCCAAGTACAAGATTCCCGAGAATGGCACTCCAGGAGACACCGTCTACGCCATGCTCAGGGACGAGCTGGACCTAGACGGCAGGCCAAATCTCAACATGGCCAGCTTCGTCAACACTTATATTGAGAAAGACGCCCAGAAGCTCTTTGTCGAGAACCTAGGCAAGAACCTCTCCGACAATGACGAATATCCCGCCATGATCTCCTTCAGCGACCGCTGCGTCAGCATCCTCGCTCATCTCTGGGGTGTCCAAAAGGGCGAAAAAGCCATTGGCACCGCCACCGTCGGCTCCTCGGAAGCCGTTCACCTCGGCGGCTTAGCCATGAAGCGTCGATGGCAGGAGAAGCGCCGGGCCGAGGGCAAAGACGCCTACAAGCCCAACATCATCATGGGCGCCAACGCGCAAGTCGCTCTGGAAAAGTTCGCCCGCTACTTCGACGTCGAGGCCCGTATCCTGCCCGTCTCGGCCAAGAGTAACTACTGCCTGGACCCAGCTTTGGTAAAGGAGAACCTAGACGAGAACACCATCGGCGTCTTTGTCATCCTCGGCAGCACTTACACAGGCCACTACGAGCCCGTCGAAGAAATCCACAAGATCCTCGATGACTTTGAATCGCAAACGGGCATCGACATCCCCATCCACGTCGATGCCGCCAGCGGGGGGTTCGTCGCCCCCTTTACCTACGCCAAGACAGGCGGACAGAAATGGAACTTTGAGCTTCCCCGCGTCAAGTCCATCAACGTCTCGGGTCACAAGTACGGCCTGGTCACGCCCGGTGTAGGGTGGATCGTGTGGAGGGACGAGTCCTTTTTGCCCAAGCATTTGATTTTCGAGCTGCACTACTTGGGGGGAACCGAGTACAGCTACACGCTCAACTTCTCGCGCCCCGGTGCGCAGGTCATTGTGCAGTATTACAATCTCATCCACCTCGGGTTTCAGGGGTATCGCGCCGTGGTGGAGAACTGTCTCTCCAATGCGCGCTTGTTGTCCAAAGCGCTGGAGGCGACAGGGTGGTATACCTGCGTTAGCGATATTCATCGGCCGCCGCAGAAGCAAGCAGGTTCTGTAAAGCCTGGGTCGAGCGGTTATGAGGGGAAGAACGATGATCAGAGCTGCTCCGAGAGGAGCCAGAATGATGACCAGAAGGCCGAAAGTGAAGAGTCCAAGACCCATGCCTCTTCTTCTTCTTCGTTGTCGTCAAAAGACACCCCCGCGGACGAAAACCGCGAAGAAGAAACCTCCGCCGACTACACCCCCGGCCTCCCCGTCGTCTCGTTCCGCTTCACCGACGAGTTCCAGCAGGAGTACCCGCACGTAAAGCAAGAAACCGTGTCCCTTTTGATGCGCGCCCGGCAGTGGATCATTCCCAACTACGCTCTGCCGCCCAACGAGGACCAGACGGAGATTTTGAGGGTGGTGATTCGCGAGTCGTTTTCGTTTGATCTGATCGATAGACTTGTTACGGACTTGGTGAGGGTTACGGAGACGCTGATGGAGAACGATGAGGTTGATTTGAGCTTGTTGCAGCAGCATCAGGGGGGACGGAGGAGGCCAGTTACGAAGGACGATAAGAGAACACAGAAGGAGGAGAGGGAGAGGGAGGAGAGAAAGGGGGAGGAAAGGGGGGAGGAGAAGGGGAAGAGGATGGGAGAGGGAATTCATAGAAGTGTTTGTTAAAGCTGGATCTGAAGTAGGCGAGGCAACAAAGACAGACTCTGTCGTAATGGTTGATGCAACGGGAAGGTTTGAGATAGAGCGCCATGTTGATAGTCAGGCTTGGTTTAATGATATTCAAGCAAGTCCCAACAAGAACCCTAGAAGAAAAAAAAAAAAAAAAATTCCCGACGACTGGTTCGAAGGCACCACCTCTCCCGACCCTGCGAAAAAGAGCAAAAAACAACAACCGCTCGTTCAGAGCAATGGTGAACCGTATGAATGTCTCGTTCTGTCGACTGGAGCGTTCCCAGATACCATATAGGTAGACCGGCTACTAGAATGTGAAGACCCCTTTTCGTATCTTAGCACACCGTTCCCGATCCGGACAGGCAATAGGCTTTTTTTTTTTTTTTTTAAGTTTTTGAGACTCAATCGGTAGACCACTGTGCCATCTGACCAAGCGGTTGTTGTTGGAAGGAGGAACCAACCAGGTCCCTTATATGGTCATTAGGGTGGGGGGTGATATCGGATGAAGGAGTGATAGGGAAGGCACGGCGGATGCGGTAGGTGCGGCAGGTGCGGCCGGCAGCCGGACTCTGGAGTTCGAATGTCCAGACGAAGAAGCGGCGATGGACTGTACCTACCTCACATACTTTAGTGGACAACTGAATTCCATCGTCCTCCTCCATCATCGTCGTCGAGTTCCCTACCTCAGAATGTTTACCACCCCTCCTCTGATCCCAACCTAAACGAATCCTCAAGCACCTAAAAATTCGAACGCCCACGATGTCACTCCTCAGACCAGATCGTCTCCCAGAACGCCCCAAATCCCCCCTCATCCTCGCTCGTGAAGCAGCCGAGGGCAAATCCAGAGTCATGAGCATCGATGCCGAAGCCGCTCGCACCCGCCTCGCCTTCGACAGCATGGGCTTCGACTTCAAGCTCTAGTACGGCAACGATGGCAAGGTCCGCCTCAACATTACCAGGCAGCAAGGAACCTCGCCCGACAGGCGCCTCAACGTACCCGTACCCCTACCAGGAACCAGAACCCCCGAGTCCTCCATCTCCGGGAGGTCTACCCCTACGAACACATCCTCTCCCCGATCAGCCACGCCAACACCCACGCAATCGCAACTGCAACCACAACCACAACCACAACCACAACCCTTTCTCTCCTCAGGCCGAGGCACAAGACTCAACATCGTCATGCTCGCCGTAGGCTTTGCAGACGATGTGCGCCACTTCACCGCCGTGGCTGTCTGGTTGCGCGACAAGTTTGGCCATCGCATCAGGGTAGCCACGCACCCGGACTACCAGGCGCAGGTTGAGGGTTGCAGGCTCGAGTACTTTAGCCTAGATGGCCGCTGCAAACAACACGGAGGACAATACGGAGGAGGATGTGGTGACTATGATGCTTTTGATGCTCAGGAATGGATCAAGTCTCGCGGTCCGGCCGAGAGAGAAAAGTGGAAGGAGTCGGTGTATGCGATGCTGGAGGATTCGTGGAGGGCGTGCGTTGCGCCGTTCAGTGATGGGAGCCCCTTCATTGCGGATGCGATTGTGGCTTGCCACAAGGAGTTTGCGCATCTGCATTGTGCGGAGAAGCTGGGTGTTCCTGTTCATGTTCTTTCTCGGTAAGTTGTGAGTTTGGATACTGATGGAATTGATACTAATGTGTTGGCTTGAAAAGGTGGCCCTGGAGCCCAACCTGCAGCTTTCCTCATCCTCTTGTATGTGTCAAGATCTGTGAAGCCAAACGGAACCTGGCCAACCTCTTCACATACAGTATCATGGAGATTATGCTTTGGTGCGAAACGGGTGAGACAATCAACAAGTTCAGAACAGAGGTCCTAGAGCTTGATCCCATAGACTTTCTAACCGCAGTCGGCATGCGACACCGGTGGAAAATACCCACTACTTACTTTAGATCCCGCACCCTGCGAGAGAAGCCTGACGACTGGGAGCGTCATATTTACTCCTATGGCTCATTCGAGGAGACAGCAGTTTCCGTACATAGGCGGCTGCTCGAAGACTGTCAGCCCTGTTCGCTTGTCAGCGGGGAGCTTGCGTCGTTAATGGCAAGGACCAAGTATACTCCGGTTCCTCTGTCACCCATCAGCGCAGTGGCCGTTGTTCTAGGAGGAGCCTCGGAGATTGAGGAACTGCAACCGTATGTTTCCCTTTTGGATATGTTTCCCTTGCCGCCAGTAACCAGCTTCCCTTACCTAGGTATCATTCCCGAAGATGGCAACTTTCGAAACCTCGGCCTGACCTTAATCCTGATACCGTGTCAGGGGTCCAGAGGAATATCGTTCTCGGTCATCTAAGCCAGATTTCACCCAATGTCATCACCGAGATCCTAGCCCGTGACTTTTCCCGAATCCATGGGCATCCTCACGGCAACAGCTCAGGAAACATCAATGGCTGGCAAAGCGGGATAATTGCTGCTGGACGAGTAAGCTGCGCGTTTTTGCCGGAGTAATTTGGTAGGAAAGACACTCACTACATCACTAGAAACTGAGCCAGAACCTCTGGGACGGCATCTCTGGTGTTTTCACCAGGCCCATCGCAGGCGCGCGCGAGGAGGGGACAGTCGGGTTCCTCAAAGGGTTTGGTCAAGGCCTCGGCGAGCTGGTGATGAAGCCAACGACTGGCGCTCTCGAAGCCCCTGGGTTCATCTTTCTCGGTTTCTACCGAGAGCTGGAGAAGCTAGGCAAGGCGGATAGCGAGGCTCAGATTGTCATGGGCCGCCTGGCGCAGGGAGAGGGAGAATATGTAAAACTGCATAAGAGTGAGAGACAAAGGATCGTGACGGCCTGGCGCGTGTGTGAAGGCATGGCGAAGAGGGCGGCGGACAATGCAGCAAAGCGGTAAGCCGTGGCCTCCTCGGAGATAGAGCCTAGACAATATCACCATGTTTCGCTTGACGTTGGTCTCTCAGCTTGCGATGTCCGATTCTCATGAAACATCATGATCTTGCCGGTTGCCCATGAGATGATAATATCATGATACCGATGGCCGCTCGGACCAGGGGCATCCCAACTTCCCATCAACCGAATGGCAAACTTCAAACTCCCGAGGGCCACGTAACTTTGCTATCACGCACCTCCTTTGCCGAGCCTACCCATCGTGCTTACGAGTGTAGATTGTTACGTATCTCATACAAACAAAAAGCGCCGAGGCTAACAACCGGCTCCGTCTTTGGGGCTCCGCCCTCGCCCGGGCCCGCCACGGGACTGGAACCATACTGGAGCCGCTGGAGTTGCTGGAGACGTTGGAGCTCACGGGGGCGGAGATGGGAATGGATTCAAGCATGGATTGCCCGTGCATCACTGCGGAGACGGGCCACCGCTTGGGGTAAAGCCTGGGGAACCTGGGTGGACTCGGTGGAATTTCCCCTCTTCAACGTGCTGATTGCAGCCAATGCCCCCCGATATGCTGGAGAGGCAGCGTCCACAGGGCTTCCAAGCAGCGGAAAGCAAGGAATATGACTCGTATTGACAGGTTTGACAGCCTGCGCTCGCCTGTCCCCCGCGCGGACAAGCATGCTAGATATGCGTGGGGAGAGCTCCTCAGACTCCGTCGCGGCGTGGGCAGAAAGGGGAACAACCTTGGAGAAATGGGGTGCTGTCAAACGTCGTATAAAACAAGAGAATGTCTTTTCGGACCGTCGGAAAAGTCTTTATACACCGTCGGCCAAACTGCTTTTCCAAGTAACTCTATAAAAACAAGGTATTAAGTCTCATGAAATATGGTAGAATTTTTGTTATTTTTCCTCTTCACGGTGGTATTAGTATCCAAGCTACACACGCTCTCCAACGCTTGAATTCCAAGTGATCTTAAGAATAGGATTAATAATATTTAAAAACTAAATCTTTATTACTATCTGGGGGTTTGTAAGACTACGAGTACGGGATAGGGCTAGTAATATTGAGCAAAAAATATATAAAATTCTAATACTACTATTATTATTATACCTTTCATTTCAGTCAAGATATACTTATTTTAATTTAAGCTAACGGTGTATGAAGACTTTTCCGACGGTCCGAAAAGACATGCTCTAAAACAATGGCAGAAAAAGGAGGGGCCCCATGTTTTGGGGTGGAGGACATTGTTGTGGTTCCCACTGCGATATGCAATCATTAATCAGAGTTTGGGGGGTTGAGGGACGTGAGGGGAAAGCATAGCAAAGCATGTGAGGAGAAAGGTGGGTTTATTTTGTTTGAGTCTGTGATGTCCCTGGTAGTTTTTGTCCTTTATTCTCATGGAAAAAGAAAGAGAGACGAGAACCTCAATGGATACCTACACACATATCAACGTTGAAAACAGTCCAGCGAGGGCTCGTAATGAGGCTCAATCGCCCTTTGAGCCTGTGTCCTGGCCGTCTTACACTACATGAACCTAGCCGATCTTTTCTTGATGGACGGACGGTGAAAGGGGAAATGTCGTCGCTGTTGTATCGAGATGCCTTTCTGGGTTTAGTGACATCTTCTTTCCTCTTGCAAGACCGATCACAAGATGTAACACTGGGGAACTGGCCAGCGCCCGACACCTCTCTAGCCAGTCATCAACCAGCGCCCGGCCGAATGTGGGGAGAAGAGGTTTCGGCAGACCGCGGTAAAACACGCTGGTTGACCAATTCAAGCTCTTCCATCTGAGCGACGGCGGCCACGGTCGAGCCGAGTTGGGGTCGGGTGCTACACTAGTAGTCAACCCCGCGCCAATTGTCCCGCCCCCAGGTCAAGAAGGTACACGCTGGTGTTGGCTCGGTGTGTTAAGCCGAGCGAGAGTGAAAAGAAACATAAAACGTCTCTTGGCTTCAACTCTTCTGTTTTGTCCGGGCACCTCACTCCCTTTCTTCTCCTTCTTCTTCTCCTTCTCCTCCATCAGCTTCTTCTTCCTTACCTCTTCTTAAACACCATAATGTCTGCTGTCAATCGCGGTCTCCGCCAGGCGTCCAAGCAAGTGCGCCTATCCCAGCGTGTGAGCAACCTTAGCTGCCCCAGATCCGCCGGTCTCCAGTCTGCCTTCAGACTCCAGAACTCTTCCTCCACTTCCACTTCTGCTCTCCCCAACACCCGCACCAGCAGCTTCTCTACCATGGCGTCCCTCCAGTCTGCCGCCCCTGGCGTCACCCCCTCACCCGCCGCCCACAAGGGCTATGACCCCGAGATCACCGACATTGCCGACTATGTCCTCAACAAGAACATTGATTCGGAGCTTGCTGTAAGTTCCGTCCCTCGCCCGTCAAGTTATTTAGAAGAAAAGCCCTCAATTTCGAGGAGCATTATATAAGATGAACTGGTTATAAAGATCGGACGAAAGTCGAACTGGACCTACATGCCCTGTGCAAAACACCACATGCTAACCGCCAATGTTTACAGTTCGACACTGCCAGATGGGTCTTCCTTGACACCCTTGGCTGCGGTCTCGAGGGCCTCCGCTTCAAGGAGTGCACCAAGCTCCTCGGTCCCACCGTCCCCGGCACCGTGGTGCCCAACGGTCCCAAGGTCCCCGGTACCCCCTACCAGCTCGACCCCATCAATGCGGCCTTCAACATTGGCACCATGATCCGCTGGCTCGACTACAACGACTGCTGGCTCGCCGCCGAGTGGGGCCACCCCTCGGACAACCTTGGCGCCATCCTCGCCGTCGCCGACTGGATCACCCGCACCAACAAGGCCGGCGGTAACCTCGCCAATGGCAAGCAGTTCACCGTCCGCGATGTTCTCGAGGGCATGATCAAGGCCCATGAGATTCAGGGCTGCCTCGCTCTCCTCAACTCGTACAACAAGGTCGGTCTCGACCACGTCGTCCTCGTCAAGGTCGCCTCCACCGCTGTCGTCTCCAAGATGCTCGGCCTCAACGAGAAGCAGACGGCCGACGCCATCACCCAGGCCTGGGTTGACGGCCAGTCCCTCCGCACCTACCGCCACTCCCCCAACACCATGTCCCGCAAGTCGTGGGCTGCCGGTGACGCCTGCCAGCGCGCCGTCAACCTGGCCCTCAAGGTTCTCAAGGGCGAGCCTGGTGTCCCCACCGTCCTCTCCGCTCCCGTCTGGGGCTTCTACGACGTGCTCTTCAAGGGCAAGAAGTTTGAGTTCCAGCGCCCCTACGGCAGCTACGTCATGGAGAACGTTCTCTTCAAGGTCTCGTACCCCGCCGAGTTCCACTCCCAGACCGCCGTCGAGGCCTCGGAGAAGATCCACGCCCAGCTCAAGGCCATGGGCAAGTCCGCCGCCGACATCAAGGAGGTCACCATCCGCACGCACGAGGCCTGCGTCCGCATCATCGACAAGCAGTTCAAGCCCATGGACAACTTTGCCGACCGCGACCACTGCATCCAGTACATGTGCTCTGTCATGCTCACCTTTGGCCGCCTCACCGCCGGCGACTACACGGACGGTTCCGAGGCCGCCACCTCGGAGCTCGTCGAATCCCTCCGCAAGAAGATCAAGTGCGTCGAGGACCCCCAGTTCACCGCCGACTACCACGACCCTGCCCTCCGCACCATCTCCAACGGTCTCACCGTCGAGCTCAACGACGGCACCTTCCTTGACGAGGTCGTCGTCGAGGCGCCCCTCGGTCACCGTCTCCGTCGCGAGGAGGCTAAGCCCCACATCCTGGCCAAGTACAAGCGTCACTTGGAGCCCCACTTCAGCGCCGACAAGGTTGAGAAGCTGGTTGCTCTTGGCCAGAACCCCAAGGAGTTGGAGGCTATGTCGGTTGATGAGTATGTTGATCTTTATGTCAACGAGAAGAGCGAGTTTGCTCAGTAAATATGGCTTTGTTTGGCTGGAGCAGAGAGGAAAAAGGATGGGAGGTGGTGCATTATATAGAAGCGATCTTTGGTGTGCTTAGAATGGCGTGAAATGAATATACCATTTTTTTTCTTTTTTTTTGGTTTACATATATTGTTCTGGTCCTCATCTTGGTTGATGATTCAAAGGAAAAAAAAAGGATTGTGAACTGTATCCTCTGTGGGACCTCACTTGACACTCAACCACAGACATCATTACTGGGACTAATATGATTGTCACCTATTGTAAAACTAAGCAAATGCCTATAATGGAAAAAAAAACAAAAAAAACCTTCAGAATGATGACCTCCTTGCCAGTTACAATAACCAAAAAGACATGATGAACCAAACTCCCTAGTAAGTTTGCGGACCTAGTAGACTAAAGGCAAAAAAAAAAAAAAAAAAAAAAAAAAAAAAAAAAAAAAAAGAAGACGGTTAAACCCTTCATATGACCTGGCAATGATACCCCATGCACAATCCACAGTAAAGTATACCTCTGAAGATGCCTGAACCACGCACAGAAACCCCAACAGAAGGGTCCACCATAATGTCAAATGATGTTCTTGTCCAACGGTTCCTAACCGTCAAACTCGACGCCCACAACCTTGGCCGTACCACCGACATTCGCTTCACCTCCTCCTCCCAAACTACCACCACTCCCTTGTTGCAGCTGAGCCTCAGCAGTAGGATCACTAGCCTCTGCATCCGCCCCCGTCAATAAATCTCTATCCGAACTCCTCACTCCTCCACTTCTCATCCCCGCCGCCGACCCTCCCGCGCCGCCAGAACCATTCCCGTTACCGCCAAGCGATAAGCCTTCAACAGGCCCACCATCATCCTCGTCATCATCTTCATCATCGCCGCCACCACGATTCGCGCCGCCTGGCTTGTGCTGCCCTGGCAGCGCATTCTTCTCCAGCTCTCTCTGCGCCTCCTCCATGCGTCTTCTCACCTCCGCCGCGACACGCATTCCATCTGTGACGATATTGTCCAGTACGCCTCTTAGACCGCGTCCGGCACCTGCTCCTCCTTGCTGGCTGTTTGCTCCGCCGGCGCCGCCGCCGAAGAAGCCCATGTGGGAGAAGGTGCTTCCTAGACCGCCCACGCCGTAGGACGACGAGCCGGCGTTGGAAGAGTTGCCGCTGGACATGCTGATGCCCTCTACGAGGTGGAACGAGCACGGAAAGGAGGACTCGAAGAATTGCTCGAGGAGCTCGTCGGCAAGGACGACCATGCGGAAGGTGGGCAGGGTGATGTGCAAAGGGTTGTTGGGGTCGAGGGCGATGTTGGCCTTTTCCGACTGCTGGCGCGAGACGCGGCGGCGGCGGTCTTCGTCATTGTTGGAGATGGACGAGGGCGCGGTGGATGGGTCGAGATGCAGCGAGGAGGGCGGTTGCAGGCTCGAAGTGGCGGTGTCCTCGGAGCGCTTGGCTGGGCGCGGACTGGCGGTTGGGGAGTCCATGGCTAGGAGATCGTCATCGTTCTCTTCGTCAAAGTCGTCGTCGTCATCACCAATGGCAAAGGCATCAGGGTCTGCCAAGCCCTGGGCGGCATCGTCGTCATCAATGGAGATCAGGTTCTCTTCCTGACGAGACGTCGTCTGTTGTTGTGCCGGTTGCTGGCTGTTTTGGTTGTTGGGATGGTCTGGGTCTGCGTACTCAAAGCATCTCCTGATAAATGCACTGACGCTCCCGAGAAATCTCTCGTTAACAGATTGGTCGGGCACTTCATTTCCAGGGGTCACCATGCCCTCAGTCATCATCCCGTTAGGTGCTGTTGCACGATCCAGTGTACCCTCCAATCCCCGACGTGATAGAAAGAGCAAAGCCTCGGACATGCGCAATATGCCTTCTCGATCAACCTTGCCATCTCCATCATCGTCATGCAGTTCAAAGAAGTAGTTAATCGTTCCCATGATATCACGCTTTCCTTTGATGCGGGCCAAACCAGTAACAACGTTCTGGAGGGTGAGCGCGGAGCTGGAATCAAAGTCCCATTTCCTGAACAGCCTTTGGAGGAACTCGTGATCTGCTGGTTCGGGACCATTGCCCCAAGGAGACATGGATGATTCGTTCTTCCGGAAACTGTTGTAGAACCCTCCTCCGTTACTGGAACCAGTATCACGGCGAGACTGAGTGGGGGAGTCCGAAACAGCCCACTTGGCGATGCCCGCGAGGAACTCTCTGAAGGCATCGTAATCCATCAGGCTTGTGCTCGGACCCAGCCCAACTCGCCCCTTTTCAACATTCCCCTCGTCCACCATTTGGCCGATTCTCGATATCCTGTTGCTCTTGGCTCTCCTTGCCTCTTCCTGCTTGATGATGAGATCCCGTTGCTGCCTCTCGTACAACACACCGTAAAATCTATCGTATACCGCACCGAGCTCATCGGTGCTAAGAAGCTTACTTTCCGGCCCCAGGTTCCGAATGGCCGTCCGTTTGGCAAAACTCTCAATGTTGTTCAACACTGCGTCCTTGTTCTTGAGGCGCAGCTCTGTGATTGTGCTGTGTGTGATGCCAGAGAATTCCTTGAATGCCACCACCATTAACTCCTGAAACCTGGTAACAGCTCTCAGCTTCGGATTTTCCGACTTGGGGTGTGCCGACTCATCCAGCCGAGCAAAATAATTCTTTAGTACCGAGATGAAGGCACCGTCGTCGGAGGCATCCAGTAGCTCCTCACCGTTTATCCTTAAAATAGCCAGGCCAACCTGGAACAGTACCTTGGGGCCCTCCACGAAGAAAACATCCAAGACTCTGAAGGCAAAGACCAAGGGCATGGAGTTGATGTACAGTGATAGGAACCACGGAAGAGAGACCACTGAAAGCTGCACATCGCACTTCACCAAGTGTTCCCACAGGATGGGCATAGTCCTCTCCACAAGGGATTCGAACACCTTCTGATCCAGGAGGGTACCATACATGGTGGTGGAGTAGTAGCCAGGAACCAGCCGGTCACAGAGAGTCGACAAGAGGAAGAATGCCTGCGCTTCCGACATGTAGATCAGCAGTGCGGCTACCACGATGTTCATGGCCTGGCAATAGCCAACGTCGGCGTTGACCCAGCTGTAGGCGGTCAACACCCGGCGCAACCGGCCGATACCTTCCTCGCTCTGAAACCCCGGATACTCCGGAAGACTTCGATTTAGGTCCTTCTCAATTTCGTCAATCGCGAGCGATTCTTTCCCTGAATGCTTGGCGAGCGTATCGGCATACAACGTCGGGTTCTCTAATCGCAGATAGACGGAGCCTGATGTCAGCTCCCAGATTTCGCCCCTTAGCCGGTTTGGTAGGCCGACTCTAATGAGCTTGTGGAAGGTAGGTTGACGGATCAACGTCACGTTCCGACCGTTGTCGCGAAGGTATTCGGCCCACAGGCGCATCTTTGCTCGGTCTCGCAGCTTTTTGGGATCACCAGGGTATCGGAAGATCATGCCGAGCCCCGCGTCGGGCGGGTTGGCGCTTTTCTGCTCCTCGGGTCGTAGCAGGTATTCCGAGTAGCATTCGCCGATGACCTTTTTGAGTTTGCCGACATTGCCCACGGCCGCACGGAGCCCCTTCTTGAGACCATCGCAGAAGCGCTCGCAAGCGACCCGTGTGCCAGCAAGCTGAATAGTGATCCGTTGTTCCCTCACTTCTTTCTTGTCCTTGTTATCCTTGAGAGCATCCTGGCTGATTCCGTTCCATGTTGTTATCGCAAGAGCAAACTGTTGTAATCAGCACTGGTCTAGGCATCCTTGTTTGTCATCTTGTTGAAGGGATGAATGATATCCTACCTGGAAGTTCTGGCTGTGAAGGCGCTCTACCCTGCGGATTGAGCTTAGAGGGAAGGTGAACCCGTTACCGCTGGGCCCGCCGCCATGAGTCTGTCCGGTAAATGCCGAAGAGGTCGAGGTGCTAGCCGACTGCAGGAAGCTCGAAGGCGTGGTGGAGAAGCAGAGGTAGGCCTCTGAAAGGTGCAATTTCCCGGCGTAGTGGAAGCCCCTATCTTGGTCCTTGCCGCCCTGTGTCACGTTCGAAGGAGGGATGGTGAGCTCGGCTGTGATCTCGTAGAGCGGGTGTTGCGAGTCGGGCAGCCGAAATTGGCTCTGGAAGAGGGAGGCCTTGGACGGGTTCTTGTCGGAATCGGTCAGGTTCAGGCCCTGGGTCGGATCAAGCAGCTGCTGTGCCTTTTGCACAAAGCTCGATAGGTTCAACATTGCTACTGTGATTGCGCGAGCTCACGGCTCTGCCATCAAGAGGCCCGAGGCAGCTTTGTGTATGTATGCGGTTGTAGATGATGGTATCGAGCGGCGGGCAGCGGAACGATTGGCGGGCTGATGGCGGTCGATCGGAAGCTCAGCTTGGCGGCATCGCCCGGCAACCACTTGTTGCTCTTGCAGTGTATGGCGGGAGAAGTCTCGGTGTAGACGCCGATGGGAAGCGAAGAATAGTAGGATAATCGGGTATATGTGGTCGGAGTAATGGGGAAGTCGAATGGGTGGTGTAGAGTGGTGACGGTGGTGACGGTGGGTTGACCTTCCAGTGCCCTGGCTCTGGTCTTTGTGGGATTTAGCCGAGCACTAACTCTTGTAGTCTGTTGTGTGATGTTCGCCGGGGCTTGGGCGATTTGTATTATTTCAAGAGATGCCAGTTGGGTGAAGGTGTCGTCGAATGGGTAACGACTGGCGCTGTAGTGGTCTGTGTGCGGAGGATGTTTGCGGCTCGGGCAGTTGAGTGGGATGGATGAAACGAAGGTGGCATCTGATGGAGATTGAAGCGATGGAATGGAGGTTCCTCTTCCGTCGGGTCCTCAGGTCGTCCATTGCTTCAGTGCCTGGTAGGTGGTATACCCGTGCCTCGCCCCCCAGTGTGGGGACCTGTCTGCCCTGCTGTGTTTCAATGATGCAGCCCAGCTAACCCGTGCGGGCCGGGCGGGCAACCGCTTTGCAGCAGTGGCAGCAGTGGCAGCTTGGTTCATACTGTACCTACCTCTAGCTTTCTACGTACCGACGCAGCAGCACAGGCACCCCCTACCATGTACCGGACGTTCCTGACGTTAGCGCATTGCTGTAGATTCCCTTGAACCCATAACGGGCAGCCCGGACGCGATGTTTCCTTCCACTTGTTACTCAATCGTCAACAACCGGCGAGGCGAAACTAGACTGATCAACCATCTGAGAATATATTCAACTCATTCACACGTGTTCCATCTTTACTATAGCAGCTATGTGTAGCGTTCTTCGTACCTCTACCCTCTAACAACGTCAAAGTGTCTACCTAGACATAGAGCTCTGACTCTCTGATGTGCGCTAGGTAGGGGGGATATAACATCATAAAAAGCATCAAGTAACCCATAAACCCGCGACGCCCTTCCCGTATCGTCCTGTAATAACTCCGTGCCCGCCTCTTCCCATTTCAGTCAGTTCTCATTCTCGAGAACGACCAAGAGTTATAATATGAAATCCACCAAAGACAAAAACTACAATCGTAACCATTCCTTGTCATCGCCGTGCTGTCACAGCCTTTGACCGAGGTCCAACCTGACACACTGGAGACGGGCCTGGCTACTTGGAACGTCAAGCATACCCGTCTCCTCAATGTCAAGCGAGTGACTTCAAGCAGTAAAACCACATGTCCCATCCGACTGATCATATCCGATATTCTTCTGCCCAACAGAGCCAGTAACCCAGCCCGAGATCTTCTCAGAAACCCGCCTGAGCCCCAATGCTTGGGCGCTTGCGCAATTCCTTCGACGGCCCGAGGCCCTTTCACTAAAAGTCCCCAAAGTACTTTTCGTACTTTTCAAACATCTCATCCGTGTACGCCTCATTGTTGACGTCCTGCTCCGGGTAGAGGGCGAAGCACGAAGCGTCGCCGGGGTGACTTAGGTGAGGAATGATGGGGCCCTTGTGCCGTCTTTGCTCCACAGCCTCCCAGTCGACGCCCTTGAACCATGGGTGCGCCTTCACTCTTGCCGCGCCGCCGCTCATGTTGCCGAGTCGCATGGTCCGATCGACTGTGCAGAAGGACCGGATGATGTCCTTGGCTTCTTCGCTGATTTCTGTTGACGAGGGGAATAGAACCGGCTTTTCTACGATTCTGACTTGGGTGTTAGTGACGGTGAACTTGCATCTGGAGCAGCAGCTCAAATTGGCAATAACTCACTGTCTGTAAATCTCTAGGGGATTGTTGTGGTAAAACGGGGGATAGCCCGTCAGGAATTCGTATATCAAGATCCCCAACGCCCACCAGTCCACCGCTGTCGTGTGGCCTTTATTCTGAATAACCTCGGGCGCCAGGTACTCGGGAGTGCCACAAAGGGTGTAGGTCTCGACCGGGCGTTCAACGTCCTTGTACCCCAGCCGCTTGGCAAAACCAAAATCGACCAGCTTAATGTGCCCATTCGCATCCAACAGCAGATTCTCGGGCTTCATATCCCGGTAAGCTATCCCACCCTGCTCTTCGTGGAGGTACTCGAGCACGAGCACAATCTCAGCCGCGTAGAAGCGTGCCATCTCCTCATCGAACCGTCGGTATTTGCGCAGGTATGTGAACAGCTCTCCGCCCGGAATGTAGTCGAGCAGGAGGTAGAGGAAGTCGTGGTCGGAAAAGGAGGCTTGCAGACTGGTGATGAACGGGTGGCCTGTTACATCCTGGAGGATCTGTCGCTCGTGGCGCACATGGTCAATTTGTTTTAGTCTGATCACTGTAACCACCTATTAGTGATCCTGACGCCCGACATTCTCTGTTTTCAAAACCAACCTTCCGTCTTTCTCAAAATCTTTAATGCGTAGACCTTTTGACGGTCGATTTCTGTGCCATTGGCTGGTCGGACGAGTACCACACGAGCGAAAGTGCCTATCGCCCCGTTTATAAGTGGTTAGCAACACAGTCCGTGAGGCGCGTTGGAAAGGAGTCTTGGAACCGTACCAGTTCCTAATGTCCTTATACGGTGAAAGTCGCTCAGCCGGGGCTTGCGCGTGGCCATCTCGAATCCACCACTCGTATCATTGTTCTTTTGCGTTTGTGATGGGTCATTTCGGCGTTGGTCGTTCTGGTAAGAGTGGTGCTGCGAGAGCATGCAGGGATGAAGTTGCGGTTGCGATTGCGTCTGCTGCTGTTGTTGGCGCTGCTGGGCGGCTGCAAGTAACCCCTTTGCCTGCAGTGGGTGTAGCCCACCGCCAAATGGGTGTGACGAGGCGACGGTGGCCGCCATGTTGGATGCGGCGGACCAGTGAGTTACTCTGAAAGGGGCAGCTATGTTTCCGTCTTTCGAGTCGTCCGACAAGATGCGTTTGGAGGTATCGACAAAGGTCCCTATGGTGGCTAAGTTGAAGAGGAACGTAAAGGTGGAAAGGCAATGCGAGGGGTAGAGTAAAAAGCGCCCGTGGCTAGGTTGCTGTTCCGCTCGTGATGTTTCCCGAGATAGCTGAGGTGATAGCACTCGGTATCAGGCCACCAAAGATTATGCGAGACTGATAGATACGGAAGAAGGGCCGAAGGGGAAAATTCCGTCAACGCCGTAACCAGTCAAGAGGGCGCATCAAACGAAGACGTCCAGACAGGATATACAGCAAGCAAAAAGGGTAGGTAGGTGTAGTCGGCGAAGAGCGTCAGGGGTTCAAGTTGTCGAGCGTAGTGTCTAGACTATATGTATATGTATCGAGATTGTACTTCTGTGGGCCACAGGCTACTAAGTAATGCCGGGCAGAGTCAATGGCAGATCGTTACTGTACAGTGCTGTGCCGGGGCGGAAAGTGAAGAGACGGGGACAGAGTTTAAAGAACGGGAGAAGACGTTCATGTGGTAGGTTACGGCGGGGTTCTTGACATAAGTTCGTTGGTTCTCGGGTAGAGGTCGGGCCCCATCCGGCCCAGCGGGATGCCAGTGACGAAGAGCAATAGAGAAAAGGGAAGGTGGGAAACTGGAGTCCTGTATAATCGTGGGACTAAAAGTAGGTAGAGGTAGTCATGAATCTGAGGCCCGGCATGGGTATGAACGGTGTGAACAGACAACGGTCACGATCCATTGCTTCACTCGGACACCCCATCACGACATCAAATGCCTACACCTTACCGTACCTTATCCCCGCCAGGTTCAACGAGTCTTGCTGGTGGAACGGAGTTCTCTTCCTGACGGACTCCTCACTGCCCACCAGGCACTACTGTAGTGTACCTAAAGATATCGATGTGTGCAGTGATTCACGCGCTTCGCAGTGGGGGGAATGGTGGGATGAGACCTGGGGGTGTGGGCATTGTGGGCAGTGTGGGATTTGTTTGGGAGCGATGGCGGCGGGGATGACGTTGGTTTCTGCAGACCCCAGTTCTCTGCGCGACATCTCGTGGGCCTGGGTTGCCCTGAATGTCGCCCTGAGATGCGAGAGGCACGGTTCTCTGGACCAAACGGACCGATCGGCGGCGAATCACAGCGAATCACGTCTTTTACAAGTCCGAGACGGGACCCGGAACTTGACGAAGGCTGCATCTATAAAGACTATTTATGTAAAGGGCGGCGAGGGCGGCTTGCGTTTCCCTTTTTGCGAGGTGTTTTCTTTTTCAATGTGAGAGTGAAAGAAAGAGAGAGAGAGAGAGAAACAAAGTGGACAAGGTCCGGTTACTTGGGTTCCTTGACAAGAATAGATACAATAACAGATACAATAATGCACGGTGATACTGACACTGAGCGCTCGGAGACCACTCAGCTGAGGGAAACACAGACTTCAAAGCTACCTATAGTTCTATTACCAACGATCCATTTATATAGACACTCCTAGCTACGCTACAAGCTACTACACTACATTGTAAAGGATCATTTCAGGGTAATTTCAATCTAGGAAAGAACCGGCTCGACGGTTGTTGATATTCCCGTCCTCGTCAAGGATTTGCTGCCGGGACCCTCCGCCGCCAGCGCCTAAAACAGCCGCACGACCCGGTTTGAATCGTAATTGCGGGGTTTCTCAGGCACCGTTAGGTAGTCCGGGGTTCAAAGAGGAGCTTACGTATCCTACTGCGTACGCAGTACATATGTACACTGCGTCAGCGTACAGAAAAATACTGGGGATGTTGATGTCCATCTCGATATTCGTTTTCCTTGGACGACGTCGTCTAGAATACTTACCTTACATATTTTCAACAAGTGGCGGCTGCCATGCTCGTTTCCTGTTCGTTAGACGGTTAGATGGGGAGCCGCCCCAACGCCTGTGACCACCTCCGGCTGTACCTTTTCCTTCCCGCCCGTGCCTGCTTTAGACTTTCCGTCCCATGCTTCCTACCTAGTAGTCTAGGTACCATCGATGCGTGCTTCATGAAGGAGTGGAAAACCAGCGGCACCTGCCCCTGAAATCTCCAGCCTAAACGCTGGTCGTTCCCGTCGTGTGACAAATTGGTTGCCGTACCTAGCTTTTCAATCTCCACGCAGGGTCTTCTCCAGTTCCATCCGCTCCTATGTAAAACGAAAGTTGCGGGGCTTAGTTACTTCAGTTGTATACCTAACACCCCATGACATCACACACACAGGTACATGCCTAGGACGGCGGTGACTTAGTTGCCACAACTGCGAATAGCTTCGTGTTACATTTCGAAGCACTGGCACCTATTCAGTCCGAGACAAGTTCAGTTTTGTAACGCTTGTGTGTGATAGTCAGTGAGTGACGGTTGGCAAAAATAGGCCGTTAATCTCCGATGTCCAGCCCATTCGGGGCCATCCGCCAAGCGCTAAACATTCCCCCCACCCAGTCTGAAGCTTGAAAACCACCATCAAAATGAAAGAACGGAAGCGTGATAAACACAGAATAGGAAACAATTCAGTCAAACTTTTGGTATTTCGTGTGTTCTGTACATGAGATTCACGAGAGAGCTCGTCTTGCTCGTCATGTTGCAGACCTTCACAACATCGATCCAAGAGGAACCAGTGTCGAAACTCTCCTTACCCACGATATCCCATCACCTCGTCGTGTGCCTCGTGTGGCGGGCTCCTGGCGGCCGTGTTGAACGAAGGGGATATTGTCCATGCGTATGCATGTTCTGATACGAGGGCGCTGACTCGTTTGGGTCGCTCAGACCTGACCTCTCGGCTGCTTTATTTTGTTTTCCTTCCAAAGAGAAAAAAAAAGGTTCTTGCTTCGGACATTGTACGTGGGTGATTGATGCCGCACATATCAGCACACTCGGATGGGAGCTTATCCGAGATTCTGATCTGTATGCCTTCTATATTGTTGATTTTGATAGGCTACCCAAGTGGACAGGCACGCAATAATGATGCATATTGATAACCGGAGTAAGAGAGGTACACAAGCCTTGAGGCAAGAGAATCTATCTTCTTGAGAATGACCACGCCGATCCATGGAAACCCAACCAACCCTCTTCAGATCTCAGAAGTGCATCGTAGGTATATCCTCCTCATAGAAACCATCAGGTTGCTCATGTAGACGTAGAGGTTCGTAACCATTCCGTACCCCCTTCTTATCCTCGTGCCCCGTATCCAAGAATTTGCAAACCCAAGAAACCGCCCATGCATCCACATTCATCGTAACCCATCCTCAAAGCCCATTTACTACCAATCGCGTAACAACCACCAACTCCCAACACCCATAACCAATGAAGTAGCCAACACCAGCGCTCCCTCCTTCGTACTCCAAATGAACGCCGTCCACCCCACCACCACCTCCTTCCTCCTGGCCGCCGCCCTCCTCTCCCAAGCATGTACATCCACGGCGACCGGCATCGACACCCTGGGGTCCCTTTTCCATTCTTCTTCTACTTCCCGTTCGCCCTCACCCTCGCCAACTAAACGTAGCCTCATCGCCTCCTCCCCCAAAACCGGCACCTTCGCCCTGAAGAACACAGGTCGGTGATCACTCGTCTCCACGACCGGCAGAGAATCGTACACTTCCACTTCCACTTTCACCTTTTCCCGCTCTGCTGCCTCTGGCTGCTGCTCTAGCTCCGTTGTTGTCGTAACCCAAGGCGGAACATCCAAATACAAAACCCTATCACACCACCCCGGCCACCGATGGCTCGCAAACCGCCACGGCACCTCCGGCACTCCATTCACTTTATCCCCCCTTTTCACCGCTTCCTCATTGACCGCCTCCCCCTTGGTTGGATGGATGTCGTATTTATACGTCGGACCAAAGGTTATCGGCGCCTCGGAAAGGCCGTGCATAGTTCGTCCGGCTTCGCGCTCTTGAGTAAGTTGGTCACGAGGCAAAAAGTGGGAGAAGTGGTTGCCCGAGGAAGCATCGAAGGAAGGGTAGGTGGCGAGGGGAGGGGGTGTGGTGGTGTCAATGCGGTAGTTGAGGTCGCCAGCTAGGAAGAGGTGGGAGGTTGGTTTGAAGATGGAAATTTGTTGGAGGGTGGATTCGTCGGAAGCGCTGCGTCTGGGGTTGTTGAGGAGGGGTTGGGCGTCAGAATCGCCATCGCCGTTTCCGTACGCGAGATCGGTATGGTCGTCGGCATCGGCTGAGCTGCTGTCCCGAGTACGAGCCACAGGCGCCGTGTCCCCCGCCCCAGACCTATCCGGCGTCGACCGCGCTGCTCGGCTTTCGGATGGGAACTCGCCGGCGGGCAAAACGTTGCGCGGATTGGCGAAAGTCAGGCCTGACACGATACTGCGCCAGTTGGCGTTGCGCTTCTTGAGGTTCCATTCCATCGCAGCCAGATGTGTGGCCACAAAGGTGAGTTCCGTCGTCTTTGCTTGTTCTGTTGTTGTCGTTATCGCGTTGTCATTGCCATCCACGACATCGCTCCAAGTAACCCGTAGCCCTACCGCACCCTTGTTGCCCATATCCGCGGCGCCAAATCCACACTCTGCTTCCTCGATCTGCTGGATCTTGGATGGGTCACGGGCAAAGAGCAGGATGGCTGTCATCCCGACGTTTTTGGCCCGGATGAGCTTGTATGGGTCACCACTGGCGCCATCACTGCTTGTCCCGTATTCATCGGCCTCTTCGAGTAGTTGTCCAGCAGCGAGGTTCAACGCCTCCCCGTACCGAGCGTAGTACGTGTTCAAAAAGTAAGGGCCGATGAAGGAGTAAGCCAGCGGGGCTACTTCTTGTAGAGAGCTGAATATCAATGGTGAGCGAAAGTTACAGCATCACTTTGGATTGGAAGACTACTCACAAAACAACCACGTCCGGCAACGTATTGCCATTCCCTTTTCCTACACCTTGCGCCGACAGAGCCGCCTTCAAGTGCGCCGCCCAAACGGCGACATTGATGAGATTCTTTGCGCAGTTGAAAGTGAGGATGAAGAGGTCAATAGTTGAGGGCGTCATTTTCCGCGATCGCGTAGAGAGGGTCGCGAGGACGGCTTGCTGAGTGCTGCTGGCGTTAAGACGCGCGTTTGTTGTTATTGGTTTCTCACCAAATGAAAGATGCAGCAGCTGTTGTTGTTAAAGAGGAAAGTGCGCTTTGGTCTGTTGACATCAAACGCCCCGGATATGTCAAGCACACTCAAGGTTGAAGTATGGATAGATATCTCTGTGATGTATGTATGCTGGATCAATCGATATGAATTAGAAGTCTAGAACCGAGTCCTCCGGAGCACAAGTTTATGTGGTGCGCACGAGAGGTTGTCATGAATCGGCTGATTCAGATGCTGTTGAGGTATCGTTATGTGGGGTCCCGAGTGTGGCTTGGCCTGGGACCAAATGTCTTGATTCCCTGCAGTGCCGTTCGTGTTGATCCAAGACGAGACGAAAGTTCAGTCGAATCCAACAATTCAATTGGTGGGGCGAAATAGGTTATTAGGGCGTAGTTTTATTCCAGCAAGGCCTCCGAGTTCATGAGTTGAAGTGTTGAGGGTTTCTTGACTCTTGAAGACTTACGGAATCGAATAGTCCCAACAACAGTGTAGCTGAGCAGAGCGCTTGCCTTCAAGAGGTTGAAATGTGGTGAGAGAATAGAAGTTGTGAATCGAACTACGAACAAGGATTGACTCCGGGATAGGTATATCCAGAAGCCGCAAGCTATAAGTGATAAGTGCCGCCTAATATTTTTTTTTTTTTCTTTTTTTCTTTTTTTATGTATCATCATATCTACCATGTTCCCATCGCCGTGGTACACCGGCCCTCATGCCATGGTAGGATTAGAAATGTTGTGATTGGACCAGAGGTGTGACGTAGACATTACAGCCTCTTTCAGACACCGCTGTTTTGCTTGTCTTAGGGTCAATTCGGCCAGCCCGTACGCTGGTAATCAAGGCTGAGCCGTCGGTGGCTTCACCAGCACATGTAATCAATAACCCCATTTGGACAGACAAGAGAATTAGGTAACTGCAGAACAGCACGATTATCTTGCTCATGGAAGCTACATGCACGCAGACACAACTTCGGCAACGGTCCAATAGGGCTAAGATATGAGACGTGTATTAGGAGAACTAGCTTGAATTTCATGTTGCCCGAGCTCTTTCCACGTGGTGTATACCAGTCATATCCGTCTTGTCTCCATGATGTCAGCCAAGTCCCTGAAATATCCCAAGGTCAAAGCTCTCCCACAAAAGCAGGCGGCTGAAAGGTGCCCTTCTCTATCTGCGGTGCTCCTGATATTTCGATTTGGGTACGAGGTCGTGAACGCGTAACCATCGTGTCGATATGGGAGAGCCACCGCGCCAGCAGATGCATCCAGGAATCTTCGAACTGAGCTAAGAGGCTATCTCTGCTTGTCCAACCTAGAACCTCCAGCCGATCGAATTTGACAGGACCTCGCCGTGTCACTGAGCAGTGGCCGCGTTCACGGAATCTCCATCGTCTGGACGGAAACTTTGGCACATAGGCGCCATAGACCAATAACCACCCCGTGACCTGAACTCTGCTACATGATACCGAGCTAATACCAACTGACCAACGATTGATGTATATGACTTTCGCAAAAAGGTGTAACGCTTCGTCCCCTAATGCCTCCCCACAAGCGAGACCCGATGCGAGAGAAATGACACACCAAAAGGAAATCGTGCATAACAGTAAACGAAAACAAAACAATGGGAAACGGGATGCCGACTGGGAAGATGCTTATTGTTATCTCGCAACGACATGACTCGAACGAGACTTTTGCCATGAATGGCCCGTCTTGATCAAGCCGTATCTCATGACCGCTGCTGCAATTCCGACGGCATTTTGAACCTCGGCCCATAGAAAGGCCAAGGTCTCCAACTTCAGCACCCCAGAAATCCGGGATACTGGGCATGCCGTTCGTAAGGTCTGCGGTCAGATAGGAGCAAGACAGATTCGACCAAGAGTCGAACTGCACTGCCGCCATAAACCGAAGATCCGTCCGAGCCATGAATAAGGGCAGTAACTGATAGAGATGTCGAAGAACGAAGAGAAGCAATCTGTCGCAAGTAATCCGTCTGGCTGTGTAGAGGAGATGCATCGGTCGATGGTGCAGGCCAGGTACAGCCATCCGCTTCCACTCCATCCAAACGCTCGGGGAGCGTTGGATGACGAGAGGCGGGTGCAGAAATCAAACCATTTGACCAATGCGCAATCTGCTACTCCAACAACCCGCCGAAGATCTTGTTCCAAGTAGATACCATGTGCGAGCAACCGCAGTCTCATTCCATAGGACGATACCTGCCGGCCACATGTCCGGAGCCAGCGCCTTGACCTTTAGCAGCCGAGCGCAGCCTATTATCGCAAACTGAACGTCAGCCATCATGTCAGCATTCTACCTCCGGCCAGCGTTATTGAGTACACCAAACTCGAAGGAAACAAGATTCCTTACTAGGAATGCTGGGCTAGGCTGGCAAACTCACATCCTGTCGCTGCCACCGACGGCACGGCTGGTCTCAGGTGTCTCGCCGGTCATGGGCTTCCTGGATCCGCTCCTCAGGGCCTGCTGAGGGTCCTTACGAGCAGCAGCCTGGGCCGCCTCCTTGGAGTCCGCAGGCTGGGGCTGGCTGGAGTTGCCAGCAGCCTGCTGGATAGCCTGGGCGTTCTTCTGGTACTTGTAGACGGTCCAGTCAAAGACGTAGTCGTACTGGAAACCCTCGCGGACGAACAGGTCACGGAAGATCTTGCGGAGATAGCTGTAATCAGGCTTGTCATCGAAGCGGAGGGAGCGAGTGTAGTTGAGGTAGATGGCAAACTCGTTGGGGAAGCCGCGGCAAAGAACCTCGGTAGGAGTGGTCATCTTCTTCTCCATGATGCGGTCGTACTTCTGCTTCTTGGTGGCAGCCTTAAGGCCCTGCCACGGGAGGGAACCGCGGCAAAAGTAAAGCATGACGTAGCCAAGGGACTCCATGTCGTCACGGCGAGACTGCTCGACGCCGAGATGCGTGTTGATGGAGGCATAACGGGCAGTGCCAGTAAGGTTCTTGTTCTCTCTGTAAGGAATGTGGAAGTGAGTCTTGGGATCTCTGTACTTCTTGGCAAGACCAAAATCGATCACGTTGACCTGGTTGCCACGCTTGCCAATCCCCATAAGGAAGTTGTCAGGCTTGATGTCGCGGTGGATGAACGACTTGGCATGGATGTACTCGATGCGGGAGATGAGCTGATCAGCAAGCAGCAAGACAGTCTTCAGAGAGAACTTGCGGTTGCAGAAGTTGAACAGATCCTCCAAGCTGGGGCCAAGAAGGTCGAGGACCATGGCGTTGTAGTCACACTCAGTGCCGAACCAGCGGACAAAGGGGATACCGACGCCACCGGCGAGAGACTTGTAAACGCGGGCCTCGTACTCTAGCTGAGGGTGTTTGGCCTTCACGCTCTCCAGCTTGATGGCAATCTCCTCACCGGAGATGATGTTGGTGCCGAGATAAATGTCACCGAAAGAACCAGAGCCGATCTTGCGACCGATCCGGTACTTGTTACCGACGCGGAGATCCTAGCCTTCCAGTTAGCAGGATGCAACCTTTGACGTTGGCCACCAAAGGCCCAGTAGGCCGTGGTGATTCGGAATTGACGGATAAGCGTACCATGGTAGTCATGTTTGCGGTTAATAGGGGAGAAAGACGGATCCCAGAAGATCAGTAACTATAGCCGATAGATGTCAGTAAAAGGGCCATCAAGGTACGCATACGTAATGATGTCGAACGCTGAGCTGTTGAGAAAGGCCGGTGTCGTCCAAGGTGTTTGGGCGGGAGTCCTTGCCCGGCTCGGTCACAATAGGTTGTTCGACTGCTCCATGAAGTGGCCCATGTGTCAATGGTGACGGCAACATTTCCAGAAACCTCTGCAAACACATCCACATCGTGCATCGCCCTGGAAGAGCGTCTGGACGGCGTGACAACACTGTCCATCAGGGCTATGTCGACACGGACGCGTTCAACGATGGCCTTGGCGACGCTGCCATCCTTGGTGAGCATTGTAGTGATGCCATTCCCACCATCATGCCAAGTAGGTTGTCGAGGCTATTGAAAAGCCTATCAAGTCGGTGTCGTTGACCGATGGCGACGGTGTGCATCCGGGCAAACAGCGGGCAAAGGCGGCCAGTGCGGGCAGATTGGTTGGCGGACAGACCAACAATCAGCTCACCGATACATGGCGGCAGCTGAGTGGAACCACCACAATGCGTGCAGTAACCTCCCTCGCTCGCTGGGAACGACGACCCTTCTGACGGAGATGATGATGGAAGTTTTAACTCACTCTTCGGCGGGATGTGTTCTCCTTTTGTAGACGGTCGTCGCAGACCGAATGCTGTGCTCAAGGGTCGTCGGGACCAGGATGGCAATGAATAATCGAGAGGGGCGTGCGTGCCGAAGAAGGCTGCTTAAGTGATGTTGGAGCGTCGTGGGCGATGAAATGCAGCTCAATCTGTACGGGTATGTGTTAAAATGCAGTCGAGACGAAGCGTGCAGCGGCAAGCTGATGGACGCGGGCTTGGTGTTGATGTATGGTGCAGCATGCGGGGGAAAATAAAACAAGAGATTGTTTTGGTGGTTGGGGTAGGTTCTCTTACCGTCGTCGTCGACGCCGGGAAATTTTAGGTCGTCGGTGGTGAGACGGGGGGCGAGGGAAAGGACGATGTGAAGAGGGAAACGAGACGGCGAGAAGGGAGGAGGAGGCAGTTTGGTGACTGGGACCGACTGGGACTTCTGGACAGCCGACCGACCTGGGGGACTGGGGACTGGCAGGATTTGAGGATGGCAACGCCAAGTGCCAGCCAGGCTCGCCAGATCGACCAGGCCCAGCCAGCGCGCGCTCTTTTGGCTTGGTTCTTGGCGGCATCCAGCTGGCGAACTGACGGGAAGTGGAGGAGCCGTGATCCACCGCCGCCATCCACAGTGTCACAGTGCGGGCCAAGCAATAAGCCGGACACAGTGCCAAGGTGAGCGAGATGGCAAAAAATGACTGGAGCTCTCTCACTGCACTGCACCGTCGGACAGCGAGCCACCTCAGGCAAGGGCCAGGCGTCCCAGGCCTGCCAGGGCATTGGAGGGCGGAGTTTCATGTGGCTTCTGGGCGCGCCCTTTTCTCTGGCAATGTCCAACTGTCATCCAAAGATCTCCGAATGCAGGCTTGCCTTTCAAACAAACAAAATCTGCTGATTTGCAGTTCCCCAACTGGAAGGCAAGACGCCGGCAACACCTTACGACGGCAGGGTAGGATGCGGGCGGGCACTGCAGTGGACATTGCGTGGGCAAGGCAAACGTGCTGCGGTAAGGTAAGGTAACCGAAAGGCTTATACTTGATAATGCGGGCAGGACCGCACCGTACCTACCTCTGTTTACGAGGGAAGGCATACATACACTACACCGCGCCTCCCATATTACGCCCTGTGAGTGTGGAAGAGGTCGGAAGGCTCAGCGTTTTGTTAGGCAGAAACTGGACGGGGCCCAATGGCCAATCCAGTGCAAAAGTGCCTGCCTTCAGTTCTCTTGCTATATTGAGAGTCTGTGTTGCATCATATTGAATAATTCTGACTGGTAACCCCTTATGTCTGTTAACCTCCGATACGCCCAAATACATTACACCTCACTGCAGCTTCGTGTGTCGGGTGTACAGACACGAATCCGTTAGTTACAACATCAATTGCGACAAATACGACATCCATATCCCATCCGATATCAGCCTCGAAGAGAACGGCACTTTGATCAAATCAGGTGCCTTCTCTGACTACTTTAGAACACTACGCAGTACATATTCTGTGATCAATGTCCCGCTTTTTTCCCGTTCACAACTGCATCATTGTGATGTTTCACTATGGAGACTATACGACAGACAAAATGCTGGAGCCCTCTTACAAAAGATCAGACGAAGGGACCAAAACACAAGCAAGTTGCATCGTTCAACCATGGCGGGATTGACAGCTCGGTGTAGTGTACATACTGCGTGCGACAGGGCTCTGTACCATAATCACACAGACAGTCGTTTGCAAAGCGATCAACATTCCCCACCCCGTGGGACAAAACCTCTGCGACTGGTGTCCCGACAGCTTGGAACATACCGAACAAAAGCGCCCTTCCTGTCATCTCCTCTCATAGCTTCCTCGCAAGGCCCCAAGAGTTCCGTGCTAGATATGCAAAGAACCTACGTCAAGTGGTTGGCGGCAGCCACAGGAGAGCCTATCAAAGCGGTCATGACAAGCCATATTGTTTGACGGGCGCTTGCGCAGTAGTGTACACAGAAAGCCGTCCACAGAGCCTGCAGAGAAACAGCTACACCGAGAACTGTCAATATAAAATCTCAAAAACCGCTGCCGAAGATCACGGGTCTAGTGGACCTCTCAAAAAGAGCGCACTGTGTCGTATATTTGGAGGACGTTAGGCGCGGCTGAGAGGCCAAGCCCTCCATGTCAGCATCTCACTGCTCTTGCAAGTACACTCGCTGCTATCCTCGCTGCGACGACCAGCAACCTCCGTCCGAACCCCTCAGTCCATCATTCAATAGTCTGTTCTTCGAATTGCCAATGGACGGAATACATACATTCACAATCGGCAGAGCATTCAGTCCTCACAGGAGCGAAAAGGGCTACACATATCCTTCCATTGCTCATGTTCGGTCTGCCGTGCTAGGGGTACCTGGTCGTCTCCAAGACAGTGCCCGGAATTTCAATCCCCCTGGCCTTGCAGATACTACCGACGTGTATCTTCCAACTACACTACACGTACAAGGCGGTGTCGGAGAAAATCCTGTTCAATCAACCGGCTCTACTTGCATCTTCATAATTCGCAGCCTTGGAGATATCACCAGCTTAGCAAATCTCTTTTTGAAGCTGTCAGAAGCTATCAAGAACCTCATCTCAAACCTTTCCGTGGGCCGACAACGAAGTCACAGAATACACCCGAGGCATAACGGAGCCAGCCTTAGGTCCGCCGGTGGTTCGCCTCCGCTTTGCTGCCCAAAACGCGACCCAAGGGGTAGACAAGGGTGGCACTGATTTCCCGTGGCTCGATCTTTGAAAGCGGCAAACACATGCCATGATCCCTGCGCATAGCAATGCCCAGATTACCAAAGCGTTTGTATCAGACGACATGCCAGTTGGAGGGGCATTGACACTAGAACTGGGTTTTTTTTTTTTTTTTTTTTTTTCTTTTCTTTTTTCTAAACCAAATATCCTGAACCAGCTTCGTCAATGTGGCTACACCACCCTGACCGCCAACTGCAACACAGTAATCCATTACCGACCCTTACCCATGCCTGCCATGCTGTTCAAGGTGTTAAAATCGGTAGTGTACAACGGACGGAAACGGAAGCAGCAACAGACAAAGGAAGAACATGCGCCCGATTCTAGAAGCACAAGGCGGCTTGTCTGCAGACAAGGTGAATGGTAACACCAGTTCAAATCTTTCACCGACACCTTCTGGATCCTCATTTGTTTTTGTATGAAAAACTACACCCCAACGGGTCGTGTGTCGGGCGATGGGCCAGAATCTCTAAATTTTCGGAGATCGCCAGTTCCAGGTTGCCCGGTTGCATTCTGGGACACATTTCCTCTCCAGGAACATACCCGACATCTAGGTAACGAAACCTGCAGAGGTTGGTTGTTAGGGGATTCACCATGACAGAGACTCCAACTTGTTCCAACGTCCCGGATCGTAACCCATCAGTCTGTCACTGCTCGTGTTGACCCAGCGAACTTAGCCAATATCTTCATCGGACCCGGACACACCTCCCGCTAGTGATCCACCATCAAACTTTCAACAGACACTTCACGGAAGATCTACCGCCCCGTAGGTTGGGTTGTTGGTAAGTGTATGTATGCATCTGTTCGGTTCCCAATCACCAACGGACAAAACGCCGTTGTGTCTCGACACCGCCGATCATTCCCCATTCCAAGCTTCCTTGCTTTCACAGAACAAATAGCGAAGAGATTCTTCACCCATCAGCTGACGGCTTTTGATACACAATTGTCGTGGCACGCGACAAATGTGCGATTGGTCAAGAAAGCGACCCAAGATCGCCCAAACAGCAGAGCAGAATGGAAGTGAGTTACGTAGTGTCCTAGAATTAGCCAACTAAAAAGACCAATTGTGTTAAAGCTACATAGCTGTTGCAAGTGGGCTCGTGGGAAAAGCGGTACTGTTAAACAAAACGCCATGGTTTGAGTGCGGGTAAATACTCCGGTTCCCGTACAAGACTGATATACCATGTTCTTCAGTCGTTCAAGATCTATTGTGTCTCTAGGTTGTTGCCGAGACTTGGCTACCCCCGCAGACAACAACGAAAGAGCAGAATCACCAACGGAAGAGAAAATCTGGACGTCACAAAGCAGCCCCTCAGGCCAATAGTTGCCTGGGGGCCTAGGTATCTTCGAATCTGCTTCAATCGGGGAATTCTGATTACATACCGGTTCCTGTCAATTTCAAACCCAGCGGCAGCCCGAGCTTTCCGACCAGAAGAATAGGCGACAAACCAGTCGAAGAAAGTCGCGCATTCGTCTTCATCACTGTGTCCTAAAAGCTTGGTGAAAGCATCATCTCAGAATGTGGGCGCTCATGGAATGTGTTTCTGATGTAGTATGTTACGTACACCTTGCTCTCAAGGTCCTTTTCGGACGAGTGTCTTGCTTGCAGTGGTTGGTGGTAGAGGTATGTACTGAAGTAGATATTTTGACACCTGCCTGCAATTAAATGGGCATACGCCAAGACGGCAGGTGTACCGAACGTTGGGTACCTGGATATCGACATGGAAGGTGTGTGCGGGAGGGAGCCAGGGATGACGGGTTCTTCTTTTTGAACGGACGGGAAGTACCCTGGACTTGATACCTATCTCTAGGTATACATAGAACAAAGTGTCTTATTGCTGTGCTCGTTATCAGATACTAGGTAAGCAATTCGCGTTGTATAGTCTCTCTCTCATAAGGTGGTGGAGTAACTACTACCTACCTTGTACAGACTGAGAGCATCAAGACTGTTGATAGCTTTATGTCTGGAATGCTGTGGTCCCAAGATTTGGCCTTAACAATAGCCCATGAACGAATACTGTCGAGGTGAGGACAAGTCAAGAAGTGCGGAGATAGTAGTGACTACTACCTACCTGTCCGCTTTGATGAGAGCTCTATCAAATTCTCCCCAAGGGTGACCTCATCACCCGACACATACATCCACTTACCTACCTCTACCCATGTTCCGAGAACTGCGTAGGTAGTGCTCGTAAGTACCTAGGAAGTACGACTAAGCTACTTCAATCGAATTCTGCTGCTACTGTAAGCATGCAATTTACCTATGTTCCGGACATTATGTGTAAGTAACATTCCGTTGGTTGATATGGTTACCAAAGTCGAAGTCAGTGTTCGAAGTAGAGAGCTTAGAGGTCTGCTAATCTAGCTGCACCTCTCTGGAGAATATTGAAAGTCATGTGGGACCGATCCCTCAATGCCGTGTTCGTCAGCACATAGCAGTGTCCGGTATAGTTGAAAAGACTCCTCCAAAACACATGTACATATTCCGTTCTTTTCTCGTACATTTATCACACACACTCACCTTGCATAGTCAGGCTGGTGTCGTAAGACGAATTACCCTGCTGGGGTAGATTGTCTTCATTATTAGATTCTGTAAAACTTCCATAAGGTAGTCGCATTCCTAAGTGGTGTACCTACTCATTCGAGTTCTTCTACCGACGATAGGTAATCACGATCCACCTTCTGTATAGTGTCATGGTGAATGCCATCCTCCCCCGTAAGAAAGTCACAATTACCATTCATGGGAATGGGTCTAGATACACCCAACATGTAGATCTCCAAATGTGATTTGTTTACCTCTATCTAGAGCAAAGAATGCGCGAGTGGTTGTGGACTACCTACCTAGCCAACTGACATTAAGTGATTCCTTACATCC